CATTACATTCATGACATCACATACATAACATCACGTAAAAACATCACATACACAACATCACATACATAACATCACATACACAGCATCACATTCATGACATCACATACACAGCATCCTATGCATAATATCACATACATAACATCACATCCATGACATCACATACACAACATCACATAAATAACATCACACCCATGCCATCACATACATAACATCATATACATAACATCACGTACATCAGATCACATACACAACATCACATACATGACATCACATATATCATCACATACATGACATCACATACATACCATGACATACATAACTTCATTTACATAACGTGAACATACATAACATCACATGCATAACATTACATCCATGCCATCACATACATAACATCATATACATAACATCACATACATCAGATCACATACATAACATCACATACACAACATCACATACATGACATCACATATATATCCTCACATACATGACATCACATACATAACATCACATTCATAACATTACATACATAACATCACCGTTATGACATCATATACACAACATCCCATACATAACATCACATACATAAAATCACATACACAACATCACAGAAATAACATCACAAACACAACATCACATACTTAACATCACAGAAATATCATCACATACTTAACATCACATACATAACATCACATGCATAACATCACATACACAACATCACATACACAACATATCGTACATAAGATGACATACACAACATCATATACATAACATCATATACATAACACCAATATACATAACATCACATGCATAACATCACATTCATGACATCACATACATAACATCACATACATAACATCAATATACATAACATCACATACACAACATCATATACATAACATCATATACATGCCATCACATACATAACATCACATACATAACATCACATACACAACATCACATACACAACATCACATATATGACATCTTATACATAACATCACATGCACAACATCAGATACATAACATCACAAACACAACATCACATACATGACATCATGCCGACTACAAACGTGATTACGTTATCCCGACTACCAACATGGTTGTGATATGCCGACTACCAGCATGGTTGTGATATGCCGACTACCAAAATGGTCACGATATGCTGACTACCAACATGGTTGTGATATGCCGACTACCAACATGGTTGTGATATGCCGACTAGCAACGTGGTCACGATATGCCGACTACCAACATGGTTGTGATATGCCGACTACCAACATGGTTGTGATATGACAAATACCAACATGATCACGATATGCCGACTACCAACATGGTTGTGATATGCCGACTACCAACAAGGTTGTGATATGCCGACTACCAACATGGTTGTGATATGACAAATACCAACATGGTTGTGATATGCCGACTACCAACAAGGTTGTGATATGACAAATACCAACATGGTTGTGATATGCCGACTTCTAACATGGTTGTGACATGTCGACTACAAACATGGTTGTGATATGCCGTCTTCCAACATGGTTGTGATGTGCCGACTACCAACATGATTACGATATGCGGACTACCAACATGGTTGTGATATGCCGACTTCCAACATGGTTGTGATATGCCGTCTACAAACATGGTTGTGATATGCCAACTAGCAACATGGTTGTGATATGCCGACTAGCAACGTGGTCACGATATGTCGACTACAAACATGGTCACGATATGCCGACTAGCAACATGGTTGTGATATGCCGACTACCAACATGATTACGATATGCTGACTACCAACATGGTTGTGATATGCCGACTTCCAACATGATCACGATATGCTGACTACCACCATGGTTGTGATATGCCGACTACCAACATGATCACGATATGCTGACTACCAACATGGTTGTGATATGACGACTTCCAACATGGTTGTGATATTCCGACTACAAACATGGTTGTGATATGCCGACTAGCAACATGGTTGTGATATGCCGACTAGCAACGTGGTCACGATATGCTGACTACCAACATGGTCACGATATGCCGACTAGCAACATGGTTGTGATATGCTGACTACCAACATGATTACGATATGCTGACTACCAACATGGTTGTGATATGCCGACTAGCAACGTGGTCACGATATGCCGACTACCAACATGGTCACGATATGCCAACTAGCAACATGGTTGGGATATGCCGACTTCCAACATGATCACGATATGCTGACTACCAACATGGTTGTGATATGCCGACTTCCAACATGATCACGATATGCCGACTACCAACATTGTTGTGATATGCCGACTACCAACATGATCACGATATGCTGACTACCAACATGGTTGTGATATGACGACTTCCAACATGGTTGTGATATTCCGACTACAAACATTGTTGTGATATGCCGACTAGCAACATGGTTGTGATATGCCGACTAGCAACGTGGTCACGATATGCCGACTAGCAACATGGTTGTGATATGCTGACTACCAACATGATTACGATATGCTGACTAGCAACATGGTTGTGATATGCCGACTTCCAACATGATCACGATATGCCGACTAGCAACATGGTTGTGATATGCCGACTAGCAACATGGTCACGATATGCCGACTACCAACATGATCACGATATGCTGACTACCAACATGGTTGTGATATGCCGACTTCCAAAATGATCACGATATTCTGACTACCAACATGGTTGTGATATGCCGACTACCAACATGATCACGATATGCCGACTTCCAACATGATCACGATATGCCGACTAGTAACGTGGTCACGATATGCCGACTAGCAACATGGTTGTGATATGCCGACTACCAACATGATTACGATATGCTGACTACCAACATGGTTGTGATATGCCGACTTCCAACATGGTTGTGATATGCCGACTTCCAACATGATCACGATATGCCGACTACCAACATGGTTGTGATATGACGACTTCCAACATGGTTGTGATATTCCGACTACAAACATTGTTGTGATATGCCGACTAGCAACATGGTTGTGATATGCCGACTAGCAACGTGGTCACGATATGCCGACTAGCAACATGGTTGTGATATGCCGACTTCCAACATGATCACGATATGCCGACTAGCAACATGGTTGTGATATGCCGACTAGCAACATGGTCACGATATGCCGACTACCAACATGATCACGATATGCTGACTACCAACATGGTTGTGATATGCCGACTTCCAAAATGATCACGATATTCTGACTACCAACATGGTTGTGATATGCCGACTACCAACATGATCACGATATGCCGACTTCCAACATGATCACGATATGCTGACTATCAACATGGTTGTGATGTGCCGACTACCAACATTAAACGATATGCCGACTAGTAACGTGGTCACGATATGCCGACTAGCAACATGGTTGTGATATGCCGACTACCAACATGATTACGATATGCTGACTACCAACATGGTTGTGATATGCCGACTTCCAACATGGTTGTGATATGCCGACTTCCAACATGGTTGTGATATGCTGACTACCAACATAGTTGTGATATGCCGACTAGCAACGTGGTCACAATATGTTGACTACCAACATGGTTGTGATATGCCGACTAGCAACATGGTTGTGATATGCCGACTACCAACATGGTTGTGATATGCCGACTAGCAACATGGTTGTGATATGCTGACTACCAACACGGTTGTGATATGCCGCCTACCAACATGGTTATGATATGCCGACTAGCAACGTGGTCACGATATGCAGACTACAAACATGGTTTAGATATGCCGACTACCAACATGGTTGTGATATGCCGACTATCAACATGGTTGTGATATGCTGACTACCAACATGGTTGTGATATGCCGACTACCAACAAGGTTGTGATATGCCGACTAGCAACATGGTTGTGATATGCCGACTAGCGACATGGTTGTGATATGCCGACTAGCAACGTGGTCACGATATGCCGAGTTCCAACATGGTTGTGATATGCCGACTACAAACATGGTTGTGATATGCCGACTACAAACATGGTTGTGATATGACAAATACCAACATGGTTGTGATATGACAAATACCAACATGGTTGTGATATGCCGACTATCAACATGATTACGATATGCCGACTTCCAACATGGTTGTGATATGCCGACTTCCAACATGGTTGTGATATGCCGACTAGCAACATGATTACGATATGCTGACTACCAACATGGTTGTGATATGCCAACTACCAACATGGTTGTGATATGCCGACTACCAACATGATCACGATATGCTGACTACCAACATGGTTGTGATATGCCGACTACCAACATGATCACGATATGCTGACTACCAACATGATGACGATATGCCGACTACCAGCATGGTCACGATATGACGACTACCAACTTTGTTTATGATTAATATGGATATCAGTTTAGAAAGAACCTGTATCTACCATTCATCATCAAGATACAGGTGTGCATCACGCAGGGGAACAGTTGGGTCACCTTGCATTCATCTGACAGTGTCATGTATACTATATATGTGTGTCATACAACCTCCCGCTATCGACGTCTCCAGTGCCACATACGCCGCGGGCAGATAATGTTGATGAGGAATAACAGAAACACTGCAGCGTACCCCCTTCGCAGCGACACCTATCTGTAACACCGACATGGTGTCGTGGCCTTCTGCCGCGCACAGCCCGCCCCGGGCGGCTCCCAGACACCAGATATGAAACAAGTCGAGGGCATTACACGAGCAGGGTAATGATCGCTGGGGTTGCCAAACTTTTAACGAGCATCACATCAGTTACGTTATGTTTCTGCAACATGGGTGTTGTATGGGTTTGTTTCCGACTCACTCACTCACTCACCCACCCACCCACCCACCCCACCCACAAGCAAGCTCTTATACTCACTGCAGGCAAGGTACACTATGACATCGTATTGATGAAATTATCATAACTTCTTTTCAACATCGTTGTCGTGGATACGAGCCTTTACTTTGATGGATACACTTTATTCAGAAAGTAATGTGATAGACATGGTGAAACAGACAACAACACAAAGAACATTAAAGTAAACAACTGTCCTGATCATATCAAAACCATTTAGAATCCAAAACTGGTTCCCACGGGAGATATCGCTTGGATTAGATCAAGCTACATTGTAGATATTGCTGCAATGAAATTGCATAACAATGCTTTGTAGACCATTGCGACGTCATTGGTTACCATGACGTCACAATCAAGTGACATCGCTAATGGCACTGCAACTGAAGCTGTTAGCAGCACTTTTTACACTTGAGACACTGCTTACTGCTTTAAAAGTTTGAAGAATGATGTTAGATGATGAATAAAATCTCACCTGTGTGTCTTTTGATATCAAATATATCAACATGAATTGATAAAAGTGGAAAACTTCGAGGCTTATATCAACTCATGTTGATATATTTGAAATCAAAAGACACTCGGGTGAGGTTCTCTACTTGACCACAGGCTGTTATCTTCAGCTGTTTCAGCACACGCCCTTCAGCAGGTCCACCAGCCAATCAGTGACCTGAATGTTGACCCCTGACACGAGAGTGACCTGAATGTCTGACTCTTCAGGCGTGTCCACGTAGTACACCAGCCACAGCGGGGTCATGGTGTCCATGGTGTCGATAGTGACCAGTGTCTTCCTCGCGGACAGGTCAAACACGTGCAGGTGCTTCTTGACACCATCGAGGAGGAAGCCAAGGTCAAGGATGTGCTCCACTTCCGGTTGATTCAAGCCAATTGGAACATCAGCTTTAAGCTCTCCGTCCTTCCGTAGTTTGAGACAAAGCTGACTGTGAACATGACAGTCGCTAAGATTCAAGCTGAAACCCGAGGGCTGAGCAAAACCCGCATCGACAAGTCTCGGTGTGACCGCAGCTTCAAAGATCATACTGTTGTCAGCGGATGCTGTTTTGATCTTTGCCCTCACTGTTGTCTGCCAGAGTTGAAGGCCGTCTCCTCCCAACGTTGGGCTGACTAACGCCCGGCGGCCCACCTTCAGCCTACATCCGGTCTCTGACCCTGGGGGATGCTTTTGGAGCTTCCGGTTGACGAGAACGCCCTCTGGGGTCGTAGAGCAATCGCGTGATAAACAAATTGCATCAAATCGAAGTCGGGGACCTGGAACCGATATAATGATTTTACTGCAACACTGTGACAACATAGACAGGCACACTGAGTGAAATAACACATACCGCCGACACATATACCCCTCATATATAAATAACACATACCGCTGACACATATACCCCTCATATATAACTAACACATACTGCCGACACATATACCCCTCATATATAAATAACACATACCGCCGACACATATACCCTTCATATATAACTAACACATACTGCCGACACATATACCCCTCATATATAAATAACACATACCGCCGACACATATACCCCTCATATATAACTAACACATACTGCCGACACATATACCCCACATATATAAATAACACATACCGCTGACACATATACCCCTCATATATAACTAACACATACTGCCGACACATATACCCCTCATATATAAATAACACATACCGCCGACACATATACCCCTCATATATAAATAACACATACCGCTGACACATATACCCCTCATATATAACTAACACATACTGCCGACACATATACCCCTCATATATAAATAACACATACCGCCGACACATATACCCCTCATATATAACTAACACATACTGCCGACACATATACCCCTCATATATAAATAACACATACCGCTGACACATATACCCCTCATATATAACTAACACATACTGCCGACACATATACCCCTCATATATAAATAACACATACCGCCGACACATATACCCCTCATATATAAATAACACATACCGCTGACACATATACCCCTCATATATAACTAACACATACTGCCGACACATATACCCCTCATATATAAATAACACATACCGCCGACACATATACCCCTCATATATAACTAACACATACTGCCGACACATATACCCCTCATATATAAATAACACATACCGCTGACACATATACCCCTCATATATAACTAACACATACTGCCGACACGTATACCCCTCATATATAAATAACACATACCGCCGACACATATACCCCTCATATATAAATAACACATACCGCCGACACATATACCCCTCATATATAACTAACACATACCGCTGACACATATACCCCTCATATATAAATAACACATACCACCAACACATATACCCGTCATCTATAACTAACGCATACTACCGACACATATACCCCTCATATATAACTAACACATACCGCCGACACATATACCCCTCATATATAAATAACACATACCGCAGACACATATACCCCTTATATATAACTAAAACATACCGCAGACACATATACCCCTCATATATAACTAACACATATCGCAGACACATATACCCCTCATATACAACTAACACATACCGCCGACACATATACCCCTCATATACAACTAAAACATACCGCCGACACATATACCCCTCATATATAACTAAAACACACCGCCGACACATATACCCCTCATATATAACTAACACATATCCCTGGCAAATACATCCGACACTTTCGGCAAGCACATTAAATCTGTCCATGCAAGGACACGCACGGATCTTGTTTGGATCAAGGCATGTCTTACCTCAGCACAAGGATGTGCCTGTTATACGTATGAAATACGTTCGTAGTCACATATATCTGGCGTTCAACTTACAGTGTATCGCTGCGGGCCTGTTGTCGACTGTGACGTCATCAAGGACGATAACTCTATCGCCAAGGAGGCCTGCAAAATACATGTTGGTAAAATACATGTTGGTAAAATACATGTTGGTAAAATACATGTTGGTAAAATACATGACTATCCTGGAATGGACAGCCCGTCTCTGATTTGTCTGACAACTGCGACAAGGTGTATTCCTACATGGTGTTCAGTGTGTGTCATACATCTGTATGAACTAGATATCGTCACAAATGCTTGTTTTGTTTGTTTGTTTGTTTGTTGTTTAACGCCGCACTCAGCAATAGTCCAGCTATATGACGGCGGTCTGTAAATAATCGAGTCTGGACCAGACAATCCAGTCATTTACAACATGAGCATCAATACACTCAATTGGGATACGATGACATGCGTCAACCAAGTCAGCGAGTCTGACCACCCGAACCCGTTAGTCGCCTCTTACGACAAGCATAGTCGCCTTTTACAGTAAGCATAGTCGCCTTTTACGTCAAGCATGGGTTGCTGAAGACCTGTTCTACCCCGGATCTTCACGGGTCCACTGTTGCTTGTACATAGCGCAACCACCTTCACCCAACCTCGGATACTTTGTGTCGCTTTGCCAGGATTCACATGGATGCTGGAACTTATATGTTCTCACGTCAGTATGGAAATACCGCGAGACATGAGACGGATCCCAGTAATATTGCGTTTAGAGTAACTTAAACATGACTCAACATATACTCTTCAAAAGAAGAAACGCAATAGGATAGTTTTCGTCATAAAAGCAAAATTAGCGGACCAAAAGGGCCAAATGAAGAGGTTCAATGTGCTTTAGTGTCAGTGGCAAATTTCAAAATGATCACAACAAGGAAATGCAAACCATTAGTCGGGAAACACATACGATTCGGAAAAACGCATCCAGTGCATTAACAAAAGGGCCTTGGAGCTGCACGCACTGCACGTGCAACAGCACTATGAACGGTATAAAAGGGCAGGGGTTTTGATTGCCTGGCATCTGCTTCAATCGGACAGTGACAGTTCAACAACATTCCAAGATTAACAGAAGTGCAAAGAAACACCGCCATAGGCCGCTTGCAGGCAGGGGAATACCGATCAGCTGTAGCCAGGGTTTTCAATATAGCGCCCAGCACCATCACAATCGATTTCAACAGCATGGATCAACACGTGATTAGCCAAGGTCGGGACGAACAAGAGTAACCACCCCCGCCTAAGATCGCTACATCCGACAGCGCCACCTACATGAAAGCACGACCACAGCCACTTCAATCGCATCCCAAATACCCGGACTGCGCAGAATCTCCGACCAGACCGTACGAAACCGTTTAAGAGCAGCAGGTCTACGAGCAAGACGTCCTGTTCGACGCGTCATGTTGAGTCGACAACATCGTCAACAGCGGCGACATTGGTGTCGTCAACACAGGGTATGGCCTCAACTGCGATGGAGAGATGACTGGTTCAGCGACGAATCAAGATATCTCCTCCGTCGAGAGGGTGGGAGAGCACGGGTCCACAGACGTCGGGGAGAACGTTACGCCGGAAACTGCGTACAGGAACTGGACAGGTTTGGTGGGGGTGGCGTTATGATGTGGGCGGATATCTCTCATCACGGCAGGACAGGTTTGGTCCATATCCAGGGCCATCTTACGGCTCAACGATACATCAACGAAATTCTCCTACCACACGTCCTCCCAACTGCAGCCAACGGCAACGGTGCATTCCAGCAGGACAACGCTCGACCGCAAACAGCACGGATCACAAGAGCCTGTCTACACAACAATAGCGTTGATGTTCTCCCCTGGCCCTCATGATCCCCGGATTTGAACCCGATAGAGGAACCTGTGGGATGAATTGGATAGACGGCTACGCCGACGTCAACCACAGCCCGAGACGTTGCAGCCGTTTGCTTTTGCATTGCAGGCCGAGTGGGATACCATTCTCCAGGATATGATTCGAATTCTCCTCTCTTCCATGGCCGCTATCGATTCCAACGGGGGACATACGCGTTATGTTTGGTAGCTGACCTTCACCTTGGACTTTTCCTATGTACCGAATAACTGAGATTCCTACCTCACACACACAAGGGCGGTCGGGTAGCTTAGTGGTTAAAGCGTTCGCTCGTCACGCCGAACACCCGGGTTCGATTCCCGACATGGGTACAATGTGTGAAGCCCATTTCTGGTGTCCCCCGCCGTGATATTGCTGGAATATTGCTAAAAGCGGCGTAAAGCCATACTCACTCACTCCTACCTCACACAAATCTGTCTTTGCGTTTCCTTTTTTATAAGAGTATATTCATGTCACACATTCCCTGTCACTGTACCTTGTGACAAGATATACCCGTTGTCGAGATGGCCCCGTCACAAGATATCCGTAGTCGAGGTCGACAGATCTCAAGATACCCGTCGCCATAAGTTGACGAACGTTACAACAACCTGCGGTAATCCCACGGTCAACTGTCGGGTTCAACGACCTGCTGAGAGATTTTCAGAGCGCTTCATAGCACGACGTCACGTGGAAGTCTGAACAAGCACCAGTGTCCGTCATCAGCTTCATCAGCACAGACACATCTCCCTCCCACCCAGATGTCAAGGCTCCTGGTATGCATGGCCCTTCAAAGTGTGGTCTGAGGAAGTGAGGAAGGTCTGTTGGTTTGACTCCCAGCATTAAGGGACCAATACAAGGACTGGTCGGCTCGGAGGCAGTATACAGTGTCTGGATGGGGTATTCATGTTAACCTGCGGCATTGTATCTCGCACTACAAACCGGTATTAGTCCAAACGAGTACAAGCACACGCACGCACGCACGCACGCTAGCACGAACGCACACTAGCACGCTAACCAGCTAGCATGGCAACATCTTCCTCTGCCGCTTTGCACCCGGGGTATGCGAGTGGTGAAGCCTTCGCTCGTCACACCAACACCCAGGGTTTGAATCACGACATCTGTTAAGACCATTTCCCCCGCCCTATGATTGCTGGAATATTACTAAACGTGGCGTATCACTCACTCACTCACTCACTCACTCACTCACTCACTCACTCACTCACACCGCTGACACACCCTGACAGCAATTACATGTCGTTTAAAGCACTGACTTTATAAAATATATAACTCCGACTCATGTCACGTGACCTCTCGTTCACGTGATGTTTTTTTTAAAAATGTGTGATATTTCCCATTGTGTCCTGCAGATCGTAAGATGCGCTTGACAACGCCGACATTGTGTCCTGCAGATCGTAAGATGCGCTTGACAACGCCGACATTGTGTCCTGCAGATCGTAAGATGCGCTTGACAACGCCGACATTGTGTCCTGCAGATCGTAAGATGCGCTTGACAACGCCGACATTGTGTCCTGCAGATCGTAAGATGCGCTTGACAACGCCGACATTGTGTCCTGCAGATCGTAAGATGCGCTTGACAACGCCGACATTGTGTGAAATGCAAATGGAAAGGTGTCTGGTGTCACTAACGGTAATCGAGTGCAGGGAAAAGCTGAGTCAGGTGGTGTCAACGTGACCGAAAGAATTAAATGATGCATGAACGACGGCATAATGTCCAGACAGCATCTCACACTGCCGAGGACCTTGTTGCGTTGTTGGGTGCACATGACGTCATATCTATGACTATCCTCTCCTTCTGTCATAAAGTTACCATGGTAGAGCAGATCCCCACTATCCTCTCTTTGTGTCATAAAGTTACCATGGTAGACCAGATCCCCACTACCCTCTCCTTGTGTCCTCATTAAGTTACCATGGTAGACCAGATCCCCACTACCCTCTCCTTGTGTCCTCATTAAGTTACCATTGTAGACCAGATCCCCACTACCCTCTCCTTGTGTCCTCATTGTTACCGAGGTAGACAAGATCCCCACTAACCACTCCTTCTGTCCTCATTAAGTTACCTCGGTTGAAAAGATCCCCACTACCCTCTCCTTGTGTCCTCATTAAGTTACCGTGGTAGACAAGATCCCAACTATCCTCTGCTTGTGTCCTCATTCAGTTACCGTGGTAGACAAGATCCCCACTACCCTCTGCTTGTGTCCTCATTAAGTTACCGTGGTAGACAAGATCCCCACTACCCTATGCTTGTGTCCTCATTCAGTTACCGTGGTAGACAAGATCCCCACTATCCTCTGCTTGTGTCCTCATTAAGTTACCGTGGTAGACAAGATCCCCACTATCCTCTCCTTGTGTCATCATTATGTTACTGTAGTAGACAAAATCCCCACTATCCTCTGCTTGTGTCCTCATTCAGTTACCGTGGTAGACAAGATCCCCACTATCCTCTCCTTGTGTCCTCATTAAGTTACCGTGGTAGACAAGATCCCCACTATCCTCTCCTTGTGTCATCATTATGTTACTGTGGTAGACAAGATCCCCACTACCATATGCTTCTGTCCTCATTCAGTTACCGTGTTAGACAAGATCCCCACTATCCTCTGCTTGTGTCCTCATTAAGTTACCGTGGTAGACAAGATCCCCACTATCCTCTCCTTGTGTCATCATTATGTTACTGTGGTAGACAAAATCCCCACTATCCTCTGCTTGTGTCCTCATTAAGTTACCGTGGTAGACAAGATCCCACTACCCTCTCCTTGTGTCATTAAGTTACCGTGGTAGACAAGATCCCCACTATCCTCTCCTTGTGTCATCATTATGTTACTGTGGTAGACAAGATCCCCGCTACCCTCTGCTTGTGTCCTCATTGTTACCGTGGTAGAAAATATCCCCGCTACCCTCTCCTTGTGTCCTCATTAAGTTACCATGGTAGACCAGATCCCCACTATCCTGTCCTTGTGTCCTCATTAAGTGACCGTGGTAGACCAGATCCCCACTACCCTCTCCTTCTGTCCTCATTAAGTTACCATGGTAGACCAGATCCCCACTACCCTCTCCCTGTGTCCTCATTGTTACCATGGTAGGTCAGATCCCCACTACCCCCTCCTTGTGTCCTCATTGTTACCGTGGTAGACCAGATCCCCACTATCCTCTCCTTCTGTCCTCATTAAGTAACCATGGTAGACCAGATCCCCACTATCCTCTCCTTGTGTCCTCATTGTTACCGTGGTAGACCAGATCCCCACTACCCTCTCCTTGTGTCCTCATTGTTACCGTGGTAGACCAGATCCCCACTACCCTCTGCTTGTGTCATTAAGTTACTTTGGTATACCAGATCCCCGCTACCCTCTGCTTGCGTCCTCATTAAGTTACCGAGGTAGACCAGATCCCCACTAACCACTCCTTCTGTCCTCATTAAGTTACCTCGGTAGAAAAGATCCCCATTACCCTCTCCTTGTGTCCTCATTAAGTTACCGTGGTAGACAAGATCCCCACTATCCTCTCCTTGTGTCATCATTATGTTACTGTGGTAGACAAGATCCCCGCTACCCTCTGCTTGTGTCCTCATAGTTACCGTGGTAGAAAATATCCCCGCTACCCTCTGCTTGTGTCCTCATTAAGTTACCGTGGTAGACAACATCCCCACTATCCTCTCCTTGTGTCATCATTAAGTTACCGTGGTAGACAAGATCCCAACTATCCTCTCCTTGCGTCATCATTAAGTTACCATGGTAGACAAGATCCCCATTACCCTATGCTTGTGTCCTCATTCAGTTACCGTGGTAGACAAGATCCCCACTATCCTCTCTTTGTGTCATCATTATCTTACTGTGGTAGACAAGATCCCCACTACCCTCTGCTTGTGTCCTCATTAAGTTACCGTGGTAGACAAGATCCCCACTACCCTCTCCTTCTGTCATTAAGTTACCGTGGTAGACAAAATCCCCACTATCCTCTCCTTGTGTCCTCATTATGTTACCGTGGTAGACAAGATCCCCACTATCCTCTCCTTGTGTCACCATTAAGTTACCATGGTAGACCAGATCCCCGCTACCCTCTCCTTGTGTCCTCATTAAGTTACCATGGTAGACCAGATCCCCACTGTCCTGTCCTTGTGTCCTCATTAAGTTACCGTGGTAGAAAATATCCCCGCTACCCTCTCCTTGTGTCCTCATTAAGTTACCATGGTAGACCAGATCCCCACTATCCTCTCCTTGTGTCACCATTAAGTTACCGTGGTAGACCAGATCCCCACTGACATCTCCTTGTGCCCTCATTAGGTCACCATGGTAGACCAGATCCCCACTGTCCTCTCCTTGTGTCCTCATTAGGTCACCATGGTAGACCAGATCCCCACTGACCTCTCCTTGTGTCCTCATTAGGTCACCATGGTAGACCAGATCCCCATTACCCTCTCCTTCTGTCCTCATTAAGTTACGTCCTCATTAAGTGACCGTGGTAGACCAGATCCCCACTACCCTCTCCTTCTGTCCTCATTAAGTTACCATGGTAGACCAGATCCCCACTACCCTCTCCTTCTGTCCTCATTAAGTTACCATGGTAGACCAGATCCCCACTACCCTCTCCTTCTGTCCTCATTAAGTTACCATGGTAGACCAGATCCCCACTATCCTCTCCCTGTGTCCTCATTGTTACCATGGTAGGTCAGATCCCCACTACCCTCTGCTTGTGTCCTCATTGTTACCGTGGTAGACCAGATCCCCACTACCCTCTCCTTGTGTCATCATTGTTACCGTGGTAGACCAGATCCCCACTACCCTCTGCTAGTGTCCTCACTGTTACCATGGTAGACCAGATCCCCACTACCCTCTCCTTGTGTCCTCATTAAGTTACCGTGGTAGACCAGATCCCCACTACCCTCTGCTTGTGTCATTAAGTTACCTTGGTATACCAGATCCCCGCTACCCTCTGCTTGTGTCCTCATTAAGTTACCGAGGTAGACAAGATCCCCACTAACCTCTCCTGGTGTCCTCATTAAGTTACCATGGTAGACCAGATCCCCACTAACCACTCCTTCTGTCCTCATTAAGTTACCTCGGTAGAAAAGATCCCCATTCCCCTCTGCTTGTGTCCTCATTTATTACCGTGGTAGACAAGATCCCAACTATCCTCTCCTTGCGTCATCATTTAGTTACCGTGGTAGACAAGATCCCCACTAACCTCTGCTTGTGTCCTCATTAAGTTACCGTGGTAGACAAGATCCCCACTACCCTCTCCTTGTGTCCTCATTAAGTTACCGTGGTAGACAAGATCCCCATTACCCTCTCCTTGTGTCCTCATTGTTACCTTGGTAGACAAGATCCCCACTACCCTCTGCTTGTGTCCTCATTAAGTTACCGTGGTAGACAAGATCCCCACTATCCTCTCCTTGTGTCATCATTATGTTACTGTGGTAGACAAGATCCCCGCTACCCTCTGCTTGTGTCCTCATTGTTACCGTGGTAGAAAATATCCCCGCTACCCTCTGCTTGTGTCCTCATTAAGTTACCGTGGTAAACAAGATCCCCACTATCCTCTCCTTGTGTCATCATTAAGTTACCGTGGTAGACAAGATCCCCGCTACCCTCTGCTTGTGTCCTCATTAAGTTACCGTGGTAGACAAGATCCCCACTATCCTCTCTTTGTGTCATCATTAAGTTACCGTGGTAGACAAGATCCCCGCTACCCTCTGCTTGTGTCCTCATTAAGTTACCGTGGTAGACCAGATCCCCGTTACCCTCTGCTTGTGTCCTCATTGTTACCTTGGTAGACAAGATCCCCACTACCCTCTGCTTGTGTCCTCATTAAGTTACCTCCAGCCCCACCTCACCCCCCCCCCCCCCCCCCCCACCCTATGCTTACAGTATGATTTGCTGCAAGGTGTTGGTTGATGATTATTAATTTTGAACTCAAGTAATCTGTTTATGTTTGTCACTATTTGTGAGTCATTGTCTGCGCGTTCTGACATAGCTGACTTATTTCGCCCTGTGAAAGCACGCTGTTTGTAAATCGCTCTTGTCGTCATGGTAGAATGAGGGTAAATTGATTGTGTTGGAAATCTGAGTTGGTTCAACTGTAGCTAATAACAAATAAGATGGTGTCAAATCTACAGTTAGACCAGCTCAAATTTCAAATCACAGTAAGTACATCTGCTACACGCCGCAATCAACAATATACAGCTATATCCTCCTTTCTATAATCGAGTTTGAATCTGGTCAACCAGTGAGGGAAAGCATGAGCCACGCCATCGGAACAGGATGCGAAGCAATCCGCCAAGTCTCAGAGCCAGACCACCCACTTATCCCAAGCGGACTTATCCCAACCCCGGACCGAGTCTTCGGCGTGACGAGCGAACACTTTAACCACTAGCTAGGCTACCCGACCGCCCCACGTGGCGGATGTAAGGCATGCAGCGTGGAACAGAGACAGCCAGCCATGCGTATGACGTGCAAAGAGTCACGTCTAAGTTGTGTCAAGTAATTAAACAACTTACTGGTCATATGGAAAGGTTGTCGCTCATCCGTCATGTGGCCGCACACAGTCACGTGACTCTGCAGATTCTTGGCTGGAAGAGAAAGCGAATGGCACTTATATCTGGGAACATGGCGACTCTACAACATCCTGTTTCCCTCTACGTACACTGATACACGCTCGTCTGTAAGTGTTCTTCAAAGTAGTCCCAGGGTTACTCATATGTACTAGCGGGAAAAAAGTAACTGTGCTTGATATAAAACTCATAATACATTAATATATTCTGAAAGTAAAAAATATTAAATATTAAATAATAATAATAATAATAATGATAATACTACTACTAATAATAATAATGATAATCAAATCTATATTCATGAAGACATCTCCTCGACTTTAAGGTCGTGATTCACATTCTGCACGCGTATGTCTTCCCGAGGCAAGCGTGTCCACTAATCCTGTTTAGTTTTTTCAAAGAAACAAGGCTTTCATATAGGCTAGTGGATACTCTTGCTTTGGGAAGATGCTTAACGCTCGGTAATATCATCTTTTTGAATATGTTGTCTACAGTAGGGCAACACATAACTTACCACGGGCCTGTCGACCATATTCGGTTAGTATACACCGGATATATGAAAATGTACATGACATTCACATACTTGTACAGCAATTGTAGGCGTGTACAGCAGCCTGAATGTTTGGAATTTGTTAGTAAATTATTTGAACTTATTGTCCATGTTGCAATAAAGGTTATCGCCACGTAGACATGTTGTTTGTTGCCTCAGTGAGCAGCACATTAGCTGTATTACGGCATCATGTTAGTTTGTTGGTTTGTTTGTTGTTGTTTAACGCCGCAGTCAGCAATAGTCCAGCTATATGACTGGGGTCTGTAATTAATCAAGTCTTGACCAGACAATTCAGTGATTGATATCACGAGCATCGATCCACGCAATTGCGATACGATGTCATGTATCAACCAAGTAAACGACCCTGGTCGACCACCCGATCCCGTTAGTCGCCTCTTGCGACAAGCATAGTCGCCTCTTACGACAAGCATAGTCGCCTCTTACGACAAGCATAGTCGCCTCTTACGACAAGCATAGTCGCCTCTTACGACAAGCATAGTCGCCTCTTACGGATATTATGAGCAATATCCCAGTCTGTCGGGGTGCGATGATGTGAAATCAACCAAGTCATGGAGCCTGACCACCGATGCAGCAAGTCGCCCCGGACGGCAAGCATTACCCAAGTAGTAGAGAGCAGGCCTCCGCATGGTATCGTCTGTATCATTGTTGTGTTAGAGTACAGACCGCCGTCACTGACGCCATGTCCTGAGAGCAGATAACATTATTACTCCAGAGCCCCGGTCCACAAAGCGATCTTAGCGCTACGACTCTCGTAAGTCTATGTTTAAGTATGGGAGTTACGATCGTCTCAGTGCCAAGATCACTTTGTGGAACGGAGCCCTGGCACACTTACAGCATCTTGTTTCCACCTCAGCAACAGATACAGAGCCACAGGAAATTACCCACAACGTTAAAAAAATGCACTAATGTTGAAATCCTCATAGAAACTATAAATGTCACGTTTCCAAATGTGAACACGTTTTGTTGTTATGTATGACGTCCTCAGATAAGTAGGATTATCACCTGAATCATGGATACATAGTTCTACTTATACGTTTCTCATTTACCTTCTTCTGGAACAGAGGGCTGAATATACAGAGTCTGGGCACCTGAGGTGGTCTGGTCTTTCATGAAGGTCACAGTCTTGATTGCCCCCGTGTGCTGAATGAGCTCGTCCACGTCACGTGCAAAGGTGGGGTCAAATCCCAGTCCCTTTCGTTCCCAGTCGTCTCCTTCCCGCTTCTCGTGGACTATCCCATCCAGAACTTGCTTCACCTGGGAAAACAACTGAAGCGACTCAATCTCGTCTGCCTTCGAGCGCACGTGCCTGATGTACTCCGAGGCTGAAGCAACACGTGATGTCAGTGACTTTGTCTCGTCCAGACGTTGGTCGATGGCGGAACTGTGGACCTCGTATCTCGTGTCCACCTCTGTCAGCAACATTGCCTTCCTCTGCTTCAGATTCTCAATAAGAGCATCAAATGTGGACTCAACCTGTCTCTTCGCTGACGTCTTAGAAGTGTTAAGAATCTTTTTCTTTTTGTTCATTGTCTCGATGTCAGCTCCTAGCGACCTGATTCTCACGTCCAGGGAGGTCAGCACGGCGTCTGCCTGGGACGCCCTCTCGTCGCAGATGTCGTCCAGGGACACGATGGTGTGTCCGTTGACCTCTTTATGCTCCACCACCGTGCACGACACGCAGATGGCCCTGTCACACTTCCGGCAGTAGAACTGCAGGGGATTGAGTTTGTGTTGCCCACAGTGGTGGCTGGTTCCAAAACTCAGGATTGACTGGTTCCTTAGTTCGTGAAAGCTGACGGTTGTGTGGTCACGTGTCACCCCATTCCTTTTATGGGCATTCAGACAATCCTCACACATGAACAAACCACAGTCCTTGCAGCGCGCCACAGCTTGATTGTCGTCAGGGCAACCAGTGCAAGGGAACTTGTGGCCTTTCTGCACCTTGACATACTCCACCATCTTCAACATGACTCGTTCCAAGGGGAAGCTCGCTACCCCTTCCGTTATGGTATGGCTGGTCCTGCACAGGGGGCAGTCGATGCAGTTGCTGCCTCCACGGGAGAGGATGTCGTTGATGCAGCTTGAGCAGATGGAGGAGACACAGCACGACATCAGTCTCGGAGTACGATCGTCGCTGTCGAACACGTAGGAGCAGACGGGACACTCCATGACCGCCTCCTGCATGTCACCCACCTTCAGATACTCCGCCATGACCGGTCTGAAACAGTGAGAGTGAGTGAGTGAGTGAGTGGCAGTGCCATATGAAGTGCTTGATAGAACAGAGTGACAAAGTGAGTGATGGAGTTATCTGCCCTTTGAATATGATAGATGTAACCATTTCTAGAAGCGGTCGGCTCAAATTAAACCTGACGTGTTTCTAATCTACTTTCGAGTTCGGATACTTGTCCAGATACCGACATGGTGCCAGCTTCCAACGGTTTTCTAGATTTAAGCACGGGGATATTCCTTCTTCATCACAATCAACAATGACAATATTCTGTACATTAACTCCAGGCCCTGTTACTTATTGCTGCTACCAACAACTGTTACCCTAACCCTAACCCTAACCCAAACCCAAACCCTAACCCTAACCCTAACCCTAACCCTAACCCTAACCCAACCCTCACCCTAACCCTAACCCTAACCCTAACCCTAACCCTAACCCAACCCTCACCCTAACCCTAACCCTAACCTAACCCTAACCTAACCTAACCTAACCTAACCCTAACCCTAACCCTAACCCAACCCTCACCCTAACCCTAACCCTAACCTAACCCTAACCTAACCTAACCCTAACCCTGACTAACCTAACCTAACCTAACCCTAACCCTAACCCTAACCCTAACCCAACCCTCACCCTAACCCTAACCCTAACCCTAACCCTAACCCTAACCCAACCCTCACCCTAACCCTAACCCTAACCTAACCCTAACCTAACCTAACCTAACCTAACCCTAACCCTAACCCTAACCCAACCCTCACCCTAACCCTAACCCTAACCTAACCCTAACCTAACCTAACCCTAACCCTGACTAACCTAACCTAACCTAACCCTAACCCTAACCCTAACCCTAACCCAACCCTCACCCTAACCCTAACCCTAACCCTAACTCAAGGCTCTGTTACTTATTGCTGCTACCAACAACTGTTACCCTAACCCTAACCCTAACCCTAACCCTAACCCTAACCCTAGCCCAACCCTCACCCTAACCCTAACCTAACCCTAACCCTAACCCTAACTCAAGGCCCTGTTACTTATTGCTGCTACCAACAACTGTTACCCTAACCCTAACCCTAACCCTAACCCTAACCCTAACCCTAACCCAACCCTAACCCTAACCCTAACCCTAACCCTAACCCTAACCCTAACCCAACCCTCACCCTAACCCTAACCTAACCCTAACCCTAACTCAAGGCCCTGTTACTTATTGCTGCTACCAACAACTGTTACCCTAACCCTAACCCTAACCCTAACCCTAACCCTAACCCTAACCCAACCCTCACCCTAACCCTAACCTAACCCTAACCCTAACTCAAGGCCTTGTTACTTATTGCTGCTACAAACAACTGTAACCCTAACCCTAACCCTAACCCTAACCCTAACCCTAACCCTAACCCTAACCCTAACCCTAACCCTAACATTCGTGAATGCACATAAACTCCAGGCCCTGTTACTTATTGCTGCTACCGACAACTATTTGACCCATTGAATTGCCTTCTTGATAGCAAACTGTGTGTTTCAGTATAATTGATTGATTATTCATTGATGGACGAGAGCTTAACTTGACAATCAGATTGCCCAGGAGTACGGGGTTAACACTCGCCAGGACAGAATTGTTGATCATTGTATGACAGCTGAGTTTAGGTGATCAGTTTTAGTGATGTTACACTTATACACAAATATTGGATTCGCTGAAAAGTGTTTTTATTATTTTCCTTTGATAAATACGTCTGCATACACAAGTTGTAGATTGTTGACATACATCTCGTGTTGACATGGCAACAGACGTGTGGTTACGTTTGAGACTTTTTTTTATCGTTTCAGTTAACAGATCTGGAACAGATCTACCTTTCAATAGACTAATGAATGTTGAGATGTTGTTCATTTCACACCAAAGCGATAACGTTAAGCCTATCAAGTGAATGTGTTGTGACGTGTGTACTCAATCTCCAAAGCACAGAATTATGGGTAGTAAAACCAGTCAAGGGACTAGCTACACCTCGTTCAGCCGCATTTCTGTGGATCAATAATCCTTGCATTGTCAATCACCCACCACCCACCGACCATCCCAAACCACCCACCAGGCCATCGTCCATCAATCATCCTTGCATTGTCAACCACCCATCACCCATCTCAAATCACCCATCACCCATCTCAAACCACCCACCAGGCCATCGTCCATCAATCATCCTTGCATTGTCAACCACCCATCACCCATCTCAAACCACCCACCTCTCATATCAAACCACCCACCAGGCCATCGTCCATCAATCATCCATGCATTGTCAACCACCCATCACCCATCTCAAATCACCCATCACCCATCTCAAACCACCCATCAGGCCTTCGTCCATCAATCATCCTTGCATTGTCAACCACCCGCCACCTATCTCAAACCACCCACCACCCATCTCAAACCACCCACCTCTCATATCAAACCACCCACCTCTCATATCAAACCACCCACCACCTATCTCAAACCATCCACCACCCATCCTTTTCTTTCCTCATCCACCATCTTCCATCCAGCCACCTGTCCATTATCTCCCTCATCCACCGACCATTCTACCCAGCATACACCTAACTACCCCACCATTGCCGTCAACGACCCCCTCAGCCGTCCATGCATCCATCCATCCATCGAGGCCATCCACACACTGCTATTGATACAAGACTACGTCGAATATATTCAGCGCCCTACATACTCAGCATGGGAAGGTGAAGTGATATAGGTCTCAACGAGAGAACACATTGGATTTCTTTATGGGTAAATACAACCTGCCGTAAACAACACCCCGGACCATCCACCTGCACATTAAACGACAGGGCCTCGTTCCACACCGTGAGCATAGGACTGCTATACCTCCTCAACTTTAAACTAGACTACGATTAATGAAGCGTTAGGATCACCTTGAATATGGAGGTCCGGATCGCGTCATACAACAGGGCAAACAGTCGAACAGGCTGCATCACTCGGGGAATACGTTACACAGGCTGCATCACTGGGGGAATACGTTACACAGGCGCATCACTCGGGGAATACGTTACACAGGCGCATCACTGGGGGAATACGTTACACAGCTGCATCACTGGGGGAATACGTTACACAGGCTGCATCACTCGGGGAATACGTTACACAGGCTGCATCACTAGGGGAATACGTTACACAGGCTGCATCACTGGGGGAATACGTTACACAGGCTGCATCACTCGGGGAATACGTTACACAGGCTGCATCACTAGGGGAATACGTTACACAGGCTGCATCACTGGGGGAATACGTTACACAGGCTGCATCACTCGGGGAATACGTTACACAGGCTGCATCACTAGGGGAATACGTTACACAGGCTGCATCACTGGGGGAATACGTTACACAGGCTGCATCACTCGGGGAATACGTTACACAGGCTGCATCACTGGGGGAATACGTTACACAGGCTGCATCACTAGGGGAATACGTTACACAGGCTGCATCACTCGGGGAATACGTTACACAGGCGCATCACTGGGGGAATACGTTACACAGGCTGCATCACTCGGGGAATACGTTACACAGGCGCATCACTTGGGGAATACGTTACACAGTCTGCATCACTCGGGGAATACGTTACACAGCTGCATCACTCGGGGAATACGTTACACAGCTGCATCACTCGGGGAATAAGTCATACAACTTCATCACTAGGGGAATAAGTCATACAACTTCATCACTCGGGGAATACGTTACACAGCTGCATCACTCGGGGAATAAGTCATACAACTTCATCACTAGGGGAATACGTCATACAACTGAATCACTAGGGGAATAAGTCATACAACTTCATCACTAGGGGAATAAGTCATACAACTTCATCACTAGGGGAATACGTCATACAACTTCATCACTAGGGGAATTAGTCATACAACTTCATCACTAGGGGAGTAAGTCATACAACTTCATCACTAGGGGAATACATCACACAGGTGAATCACTAGGGGAACATGTCATACGATTCAACTTGGGTAAATAATTTATTTGAATACAGCTGTAGAACCTTAAACTGACCTGAATGAATGAATATTGTTTTACGACGTATCAGCATTAGTATTAAACTGCCCCGAGCACTCTCTACTCATCCTTAGGTAAAGTAGTTATGTGAGGCCTTTTGTGATATGGTCCAGCCACAGCTTGGCCAGTGATTGCCTATTCTAGTGTTTCTGTAGCATGTGACCAGGTTTTTAGCTTTATACACTTCAATATTTCTCTCCTCTGGTCACTGCTGCCTTTCAACTCTGCATGAAAAGTTAATTATGCTTATGTAGTATTTATATTTATCATAAGGAGGTTAGGATCTAGTATTTTAGTCTTGTTAATATACTTTTATCATTTTAATTGCATATCTGTTATATCAACAATCTACGCAAAGTTGTAAATATATTATTTATTCTTCATGATACATTAGTATACATTGTGATTAGCAATGACTTAAGTAACCATTTGGAACATAATATAATTAGACTGTTGAACTACTATATTGTTATGAGGTGCCTTCAGTAATGTGTATTGTTTATAGCTTGTAGCTGTAGCTGTAACTGTAGCTGTAGCTGTTAGAAATACGTTTATTTTCAGCAATAATTTATAGCATACAGCTACAGATGTCAGTAATATATTGTACAGTAGTATTTGAGTGCAGCAAGTCTTGTGTGAGTTAGCTGGTTATTATGTACACAGTTAAATGAATAGTACTGGTAAATATGTACTGATGTAGTGCATCTACGACTCTGTGAGTGTGAGATGGAGGCAGAGAGAAAGCATGTCCGTGTGCGTATAATATACATCTTACACAATTATGTCATTTTATTATTGGGCATATGACAGACTAGGCCAAGTGACAGACTGCTTCATGACCGGGTACATGAGGCGGGTACTGACAGGTGGGGTGTTCTACCCGTGTGCGTGCCAAGTCACAACAACTTGACTCTTACCTTGACTTGTGATTGGGGAACTGGTGGAGGGAGAAATCTGCTGATTAGGTGAGACGTCACACAGATAGATAGATAGATAGATCTTCTTTATTTCCTCCATTTCATGAAGAGTACAAGGTATACAGTGAAAGGACAACATCTATAGTATAAATGTGCACACACACATACATATATATATTACATATATGTCAGAAGTAGTTCATAAAAAATATTATACATATGTATCGTATTGATTATTTGTGTTATTAGATGGACAATAAGCATGTGTTATTTACAAATGTACACTTGTTTACAATACATACATTGTTTAGTATAAGCAGCTTCGGATGACTTCATCCCACTTTTTTACTGCACCACCAATATTTATCATGCTCTCTGCCCATACATTGTAGTCTAATTCTACTTCAAGTTGTTCAGGTAAACCGCCAAGCCAAAAAGTCAGAAAGGTGTCATCGTCTGCCCAGATTCTCACAAATATTTTAACATCAAGCAAATCAATGATTTTATCAAATATGATATTTCTTTCTTCTAAATTCTTTTGACATGACATGAAAACGTGTTTCACTATATCATTCGCAACTGTTCCACAAATACATTCCTTTGATTCTATTGGCATTGAACCTAAGCGAACTAGTCTAGCTAAGGAAGTAAAATATTCTGGTCTATCGAGAGCAAGTTTCCATAATCTATGTTCTCGTCCAGATCGTATTGTTAGATATCTTGACAGAGATAATCTGCTCAGAAACGCATTGTTTAGTAATTGTTTTTCGTGTAGGTGAATCTTTTCTTTCACCAGTTTTGACCATAATCGTTTCTTGATGAAATTTGAACACATTATATAATCATTAACCTCGTCAGATAAATTATATTTGGAGACAAGATGTAGCATGCTAAAGATGGGTGATTTCGTGTCCCACTTGTTCTTATTAACTAGTGTTGTTTTATATCTAAACTGTCCAAGTCGGGCTAGAAACATTTGTTTGAAAATATACATTAGGTTTGAATTACATAGCTTACCAAGGAGCAAAAGCTTTTGTTGATCAATGTATCCTTGTACTGATATAACACCAATTGTGTCCCTCTCTATTTCTTTAGGCATACGCTTATTAAAACCCTGGATTTTCTTACAGAAATAGCGTTGAGTGATTTCTAGCATTTCATATTCCTTTAATGATAGTTTTCCCCACACATTACATCCATATAAGCCACAGGGTAATATCACTCGTTGCCAGATGCGCACGGCGGCTATAGGATTAAGTCCACCAAAGTACAGGCCAGAATCATGGTTTACATTTATCAATTTTCTCAGTTTTTCACATGCTAACCTCGTTCTTTCTACCGAAGTTTTAGCAGTACTTATGTACACTCCCGCATAGACAATTGCCTTTTGAACAGGTAATTTTATCTTACCAATGTAAAGATGTTCAGGCGACACTATTTTTTTACTACATCCAAAAGTTAGGACAGCACTTTTGAACACATTGTATTTTAACTGCCACTTGTTACCATAATTTTCTGCAACGTTTAGGAGCATTTGAAGACCTGTTGTGTTACAGCTGATCAAGGTCGTGTCGTCTGCTAACAGTATTCCTGGGCATCGTCCCCATGGGAGACATAGTCCACAACCGGAATTGCTTAGTTCATGAAGCAAATCGTTTATATAAAGAGTAAAGAGCCATGCTGATATGACACGACCCTGACCTACACCCTGTTTAACAGGGAAAACATCAGATTTGAAGCCAGCAAAGCTAACACATGAGTACATAGAATTGTAAGACAAACGTAGAATTCTCCATACTTTACCATTGATACCAAATTTATGTAATTTGTAGAAGAGACCGTCAAGCCAAACACGATCGAAGGCTTTCTCGTTATCGAGGAAGGCACAATAAACTGGTGAGTTTCTTTCGTTAAAGTATGAAATACTTTCTAGAAGAGTGAGAGCCGCCGTTTCAGCACCAGCATTTTTTCTAAATCCAAACTGTAGTGGGTGAGGGAAGGTTACATCGTCGCTTATCCATTTTTCGATTCTGTTGAGAAGCATTCTTTCGAAAAGCTTACTTAGGACTGAAGTTAGTGTTATGCCCCTGTAGTTAGATGGATCACTTTTACTTTTTCCTCGTCCCTTATGTACTGGTAAGATTTCGCCAATATGATACATTTTGGGTATATATTCATGTTTAATAATAGCATTGAATAATACCATAATATGCTTTAATAAAGATCTTCCCGCATACTTAATATGTTCGTTTGTGAGCCCATCAGGTCCCGGAGATTTATTGTTTTTCAGTCCTTTAACTGTACTTACTGGTTATTATGTACACAGTTAAATGAATAGTACTGGTAAATATGTACTGATGTAGTGCATCTACGACTCTGTGAGTGTGAGATGGAGGCAGAGAGAAAGCATGTCCGTGTGCGTATAATATACATCTTACACAATTATGTCATTTTATTATTGGGCATAAGAGGTTCATATAGAGCGTGACTGTTGTCTTCGCCGTGATGTGCCTGTGTCCCAAGGACGAGGTTGGTATTTGTGTGCTAATAGTTATATGTACATATTGTTATATTTTGATGTGTATTGTGTCATATAAATGGGATTTGTGGTGTAATAATATACTGATGGTTGTTCTTATTGTATTGTGTAACATATGCGTACATTGACGCTCACGGTATATAGTAAATGTAATAATACGTCTGTATACTTATAGATTCTTGTAATCTAATTCCACCTTATTTTGTATAGGGTATTATCAGCCTTATACACATTACACCACATTGTGTTGGGATCTACATATCCCAGACTGAACAGACACAGTAAATCCCCTGAACCCCCTCCAAGTATTCGTCGTCATTCCCTAGACGTGATGCGGCTGCTACACATCAGTAAACCTACTGCACCGCCAAGGGAATGAATCGTTGCGGAGAATGTAGAGTATCGGCCTGACCTTCCCCGATCAGCTGACAAGGTCATCAAGCTTCATGTCGATATGCCGCGCAAACAGCCACTGCAATTGTTTCCGCTTTGGTGACCTCAGGCCACGCTGATGTTCTCGCTGGGCAATACTTTCTAATCTGAACTGAGTCCAGAGTGACCGGGACACAGAAAGCCCAGGTTATGGCGCGTGTGGTCCACACAACTGGTAATACTTACAACAAAGAGGCGTCTTAATATAGATATTGTGTCATGTTGTATACAAAGAGAGGGTAGACGGAGGGTTTCAACAATAAAGGCACATTTCAACAGACTGACCTTGAACTACTCTGAGAGTTCGATCTCGTCACCCCCTTCACGGGTATGTCGGGTGGGGTTTGGACGCTGAGGGACCGTATTAGACTCCCAGGGTGCTGGCGTGTAGTGCGACTGTGTCTACCACCCATGGCCAAGTGACAGACTGCTTCATGACCGGGTACATGAGGCGGGTACTGACAGGTGGGGTGTTCTACCCGTGTGCGTGCCAAGTCACAACAACTTGACTCTTACCTTGACTTGTGATTGGGGAACTGGTGGAGGGAGAAATCTGCTGATTAGGTGAGACGTCACACACAGTTGTGTATCCGCCTAAGTCTGTCGAGGGATTGCGGGTATAAGTCACAACATGACGCCTGGATACACCCGGCCGATACCGGCTAAATATATCCCGGGTCACGAATGACTTTTTTCAATTAGGTATGAGCTTATTGTTGCGGGTTCTAGTAGCAATCACGACCCTGTAGGTATATGAAGCATGTAAAGGCGCTGAGAGTCAAACTGTCCAAACAATCACCCTTTTCATGGCAAATTAGACACAGTTTATGGAAAACAACTGCTTGATGTACTGTACAGGCGGCGTTTCGGTATAGGTTTGACAACGGTATAAGGATCATTACGAAACGTCTCCTTTACCGTAAATTAAGAAGTTGTTTTCCATAAAGTGTGTCTACTTTGTCATCCGTCAGCTTCTAAGCCGTGCCTATCAAACAGATTTCGTGGGATTCTTGAAAGCGAAAATTGTACTTGGCTGTGACAACAAATCAAGTATTCCAGTCTGTGTGCAGTGCAGACCTGACAATGTCCACAATACCAGCCAGTAGTTTCTGTGTTAAGGGGCGGTCGGCTAGCCTAGTGTTTAAAGCGTTCGCGGGTTCGATTCCCGACATAGGTACAATGTGTGAAGCCCATTTCTGGTGTCCCCTGCCGTGATATAGCTGGAATATTGCTAAAAGCGGCATAAAAACATTCTCACTCACTCACTCGTGGTGCGGTGTGGCTTCATGGTGTCTGCACTTCTGAAACAGACAAGTGATCGATGTATATCCAACATGGATACCATCGTCAGTTTATAACCTATCTGCTCTACGCCATATATCACCGTCTGCCTTCGTGAGATGTAAACGTTGGATTACAGGAAATATGCGACTAATGAATGTGTATTTGTAGTTAATGTGCGCGTGATGTATGTCATGTTAATAGGTTGTATTTACCATCAGAGAGGACGAGTAACTCGAGTGGAAACATGGAATGCTAGTATGTTTATCTCCCCTTCTAAATGTCTGACCTTTAAAATAATTCAGCGTCATGAAGTCAGTAGCTGTGGTCTTATTTCCGCCAGACAAAACATACATGACGTCAGAGCCATGAGGCGATTATGTTACGAGACAATAGCACGTTCTAGTGTTTGCGCTGGTAATGATTGTTGTGTGCGTGACAATAGAGATTGTTGTGTGTGTGACAATAGAGATTGTTGTGTGTGTGACAATAGAGATTGTTGTGTGTGTGACAATAGAGATTGTTGTCTATGTGACAATAGAGATTGTTGTCTATGTGGCAATAGAGATTTTTGTGTGTCTGGCAATAGAGATTGTTGTGTGTGTGACAATAGATATTGTTGTGTGTGTGACATTAGAGGTTGTTGTGTGTGTGACAATAGAGATTGTTGTGTGTGTGACAATAGAGATTGTTGTGTGTGTGACAATAGAGATTGTTGTGTATGTGGCAAAAGAGATTGTTGTGTATGTGGCAATAGAGATTGTTGTGTGTCTGGCAATAGAGATTGTTGTGTGTCTGGCAATAGAGATTGTTGTGTATGTGGCAATAGAGATTGTTGTGTATGTGGCAATAGAGATTGTTGTGTATGTGGCAATAGAGATTGTTGTGTGTCTGGCAATAGAGATTGTTGTGTGTCTGGCAATAGAGATTGTTGTGTGTCTGGCAATAGAGATTGTTGTGTGTGTGACAATAGAGATTGTTGTGTATGTGGCAATAGAGATTGTTGTGTATGTGGCAATAGAGATTGTTGTCTATGTGGCAATAGAGATTGTTGTGTGTCTGGCAATAGAGATTGTTGTGTGTCTGGCAATAGAGATTGTTGTGTATGTGGCAATAGAGATTGGTGTGTATGTGGCAATAGAGATTGTTGTGTATGTGGCAATAGAGATTGTTGTGTATGTGGCAATAGAGATTGTTGTGTGTCTGGCAATAGAGATTGTTGTGTGTCTGGCAATAGAGATTGTTGTGTGTCTGGCAATAGAGATTGTTGTGTATGTGGCAATAGAGATTGTTGTGTATGTGGCAATAGAGATTGTTGTGTATGTGGCAATAGAGATTGTTGTGTGTCTGGCAATAGAGATTGTTGTGTGTCTGGCAATAGAGATTGTTGTGTGTCTGGCAATAGAGATTGTTGTGTGTGTGACAATAGAGATTGTTGTGTATGTGGCAATAGAGATTGTTGTGTGTCTGGCAATAGAGATTGTTGTGTGTCTGGCAATAGAGATTGTTGTGTGTCTGGCAATAGAGATTGTTGTGTGTCTGGCAATAGAGATTGTTGTGTGTCTGGCAATAGAGATTGCTGTGTGTCTGGCAATAGAGATTGTTGTGTATGTGGCAATAGAGATTGTTGTGTGTCTGGCAATAGAGAATGTTGTGTGTGTGACAATAGAGATTGTTGTGTATGTGGCAATAGAGATTGTTGTGTATGTGGCAATAGAGATTGTTGTGTATGTGGCAATAGAGATTGTTGTGTGTCTGGCAATAGAGATTGTTGTGTGTGTGACAAAAGAGATTTTTGTGTATGTGACAATAGAGATTGTTGTGTATGTGGCAATAGAGGTTGTTGTGTATGTGGCAATAGAGGTTGTTGTAGATGTGGCAATAGAGATTGTTGTGTGTCTGGCAATAGAGATTGTTGTGTGTCTGGCAATAGAGATTGTTGTGTGTCTGGCAAAAGAGATTGTTGTGTGTCTGGCAATAGAGATTGCTGTGTGTCTGGCAATAGAGATTGTTGTCTATGTGGCAATAGAGATTGTTGTCTATGTGGCAATAGAGATTGTTGTGTATGTGACAATAGAGATTGTTGTGTATGTGGCAATAGAGATTGTTATGTATGTGGCAATAGAGATTGTTGTGTATGTGGCAATAGAGATTGTTGTGTATGTGGCAATAGAGATTGTTGTGTATGTGGCAATAGAGATTGTTGTGTATGTGGCAATAGAGATTGTTGTGTATGTGGCAATACAGATTGTTGTCTATGTGGCAATAGAGATTGTTGTGTGTCTGGCAATAGAGATTGTTGTGTGTCTGGCAATAGAGATTGTTGTGTATGTGGCAATAGAGATTGTTGTGTATGTGGCAATAGAGATTGTTGTGTATGTGGCAATAGAGATTGTTGTGTATGTGGCAATAGAGATTGTTGTGTGTCTGGCAATAGAGATTGTTGTGTGTCTGGCAATAGAGATTGTTGTGTGTCTGGCAATAGAGATTGTTGTGTGTGTGACAATAGAGATTGTTGTGTATGTGGCAATAGAGATTGTTGTGTGTCTGGCAACAGAGATTGCTGTGTGTCTGGCAATAGAGATTGCTGTGTGTCTTGCAATAGAGATTGTTGTGTATGTGGCAATAGAGATTGTTGTGTGTCTGGCAATAGAGAATGTTGTGTGTGTGACAATAGAGATTGTTGTGTATGTGGCAATAGAGATTGTTGTGTATGTGGCAATAGAGATTGTTGTGTGTCTGGCAATAGAGATTGTTGTGTATGTGGCAATAGAGATTGTTGTGTGTGTGACAAAAGAGATTTTTGTGTATGTGACAATAGAGATTGTTGTGTATGTGGCAATAGAGATTGTTGTGTATGTGGCAATAGAGGTTGTTGTATATGTGGCAATAGAGATTGTTGTGTGTCTGGCAATAGAGATTGTTGTGTGTCTGGCAATAGAGATTGTTGTGTGTCTGGCAATAGAGATTGTTGTGTGTCTGGCAATAGAGATTGTTGTGTGTCTGGCAATAGAGATTGTTGTCTATGTGGCAATAGAGATTGTTGTCTATGTGGCAATAGAGATTGTTGTCTATGTGGCAATAGAGATTGTTGTGTGTCTGGCAATAGAGATTGTTGTCTATGTGGCAATAGAGATTGTTGTCTATGTGGCAATAGAGATTGTTGTCTATGTGGCAATAGAGATTGTTGTGTATGTGACAATAGAGATTGTTGTGTATGTGGCAATAGAAATTGTTGTGTATGTGGCAATAGAGATTGTTGTGTATGTGGCAATAGAGATTGTTGTGTATGTGGCAATAGAGATTGTTGTGTATGTGGCAATAGAGATTGTTGTGTATGTGGCAATAGAGATTGTTGTGTATGTGGCAATAGAGATTGTTGTGTATGTGGCAATAGAGATTGTTGTGTATGTGGCAATAGAGATTGTTGTGTATGTGGCAATAGAGATTGTTGTGTATGTGGCAATAGAGATTGTTGTGTGTCTGGCAATAGAGATTGTTGTGTGTCTGGCAATAGAGATTGTTGTGTATGTGGCAATAGAGATTGGTGTGTATGTGGCAATAGAGATTGTTGTGTATGTGGCAATAGAGATTGTTGTATATGTGGCAATAGAGATTGTTGTGTGTCTGGCAATAGAGATTGTTGTGTGTCTGGCAATAGAGATTGTTGTGTGTCTGGCAATAGAGATTGTTGTGTGTCTGGCAATAGAGATTGTTGTGTGTCTGGCAATAGAGATTGTTGTCTATGTGGCAATAGAGATTGTTGTCTATGTGGCAATAGAGATTGTTGTGTATGTGACAATAGAGATTGTTGTGTATGTGGCAATAGAGATTGTTGTGTATGTGGCAATAGAGATTGTTGTGTGTTTGGCAATAGAGATTGTTGTGTATGTGGTAGTAAAAGTTCCTGTTTGTGTGGTAGTAGAAATTGATGTGAGTGTGGCAGTACAGATTGTTGACAGATTGAAACGCTCGTACAATACCAAGAGCTGTTGCGACAGATATGGAGTTGCCTCCCTTGGTTGTTGACAAACACAGAACTACGGTAAGTCCCGCGATGTGGCAGGTGGCTGTGTCTGTACAAGCGTGAGGCGAGGTCCACACGAGGCATCTGATCTACTTGCCAAACGCAGGCAACACTCTTCCCGATTCACAATTAAAAGTGACCAGATTCTGGTCATTCGCGAGTGCAGGAACTTATATTATAGGGCCTGTTACTTATAATAGCTGTCACACATTTCACCCCTTCCATGGCGTTTATTTTTATTGTAAAACTGGGACAAATTAAAACAGTTGAAAGCAGTTGTCGTCCTCAAGATGGTTTATTGTTGCTTACCTAGCGGTGCTAGCAGATGTATGTACTCACCACTCAGTCATCGTGTGAGGTCATTTAATCATTCCCCCATTTAGTCCTGGACGTCCCCATGTCTGGGGGGAATAGCCTAGCGGTTAAGTCGTTCGCTCATCACGCCGGAGACCCGGGTTCGATTCCCGACATGGGTACAATGTGTGAAGCCCATTTCTGGTGTCCCCCGCCGTCATATTGCTGGAATATTGCTAAAAACGGCGTAAAACAATACTCACTCACTCCGATGCCTGGGTTGATATTTGGAAAGCACATCGTAACACTATCACCTGGTCACAGTAGAGCTTCCATGAAAACATAGGGATTATAGTCGTGCAGACTATACCGTCCTGTGGAAGCCGTGAAACTGAGGTCTCAACTCTTGTATAAAGATCTCGACGTAGTGTGATCTCGTGTGTAATTACTGCAGTGTTGGTGATTCTCAGCGGGCTGTGTTTGGGGTGAGAACGTCTTCACTCTAGAATCCCTGACTTGTGTTGGAGTTAAATGAAAACGTAGCGACGAGTCTAGTCACGATTGTATTGTACTATTTGGGACATTGACAGTTAAGTGATAACTCTGATTCTTGTCACAGGGAATGCTATATTCTATTAGACCAGTAGCAAATGTAATGTGGTTATTATCTCGTATCGTTATCAACACAGATGGTTATGAGACCATACGAATCTAGTACGCATTGATATGAGTTCCATCAGCTCGTATCACTACCACAGGTAATCAGCACGTTGTAGAAGGTCCGAATCAACTGATATCTATTTTATATCAGAATAAACAATTATTTAACGTCGTTATATATACCGATCTGATACAAATAATGGTTAATATCAAGTCTTTGAAAGGCATTTAGTAGTGATACAAATAAGGAACAGCTTTTATGGATGTCAACTTATTATGAGGAATACAACGTTTCGGAGTATACACTTACACTCCTTCATCAGGTGATGAAGGAGTAAGCATATACTCCAAAACGTTCTTTTATAAATTCTCTTCCTTAATTATTAATTATTAATATTAAAATATGATATAAACATTTGAATTTTTTTATTATTGATGTTACAAATGCTGAATAAATAGAAAACAAAATAAGCAGAATCTTTGTTTCCGTCCATGCTATCTTCAACCTGCCCTTGACTACAACACTGCTGGCCTGTGCAAATCATTGAAGTGTTTATTTGTAATGAAATGGATACATATGAAGAGTTCTTAATTGCTACAAGCTGTATTTCTATATTTCCTCTACATATGATACTGGTTCAAAGTCTCCAAGTGTGTGGAGAGTGAGTGAGTGAGTTTGCCGCGACTTCCCCTCCAGGTGAGTCTAGCGCGTGCTGCACACCGTCACCGTCACCGTCACCGTCACCAGCCTGTCTCACAATGCACGGGGGTGTCCTCGTGCCACGCCCTTCACTCCACCCATACCTTCAGATATATCACGACTGCACAACCGCGGTTTTTATCTAAAGAAGTAAAAGCGACAAATCCTTTACCACAATCACAAGAAACCATTGTACATTGTACGATGATTCCGGTATACCATCAGCTTGCGTTTATGAATTACTATCGCCCCAGGAAGATCAGGGGTGGAATAGGTCTTCAGCAACCCATACTTGCCGTAAAAGGCCACTATGCTTGTCGTAAGAGGCGACTTACGGGTTCGGGTGGTCAGACTCTATGACTTGGTTGATGCATGTCATCGATCCCAATTGCGTGGATCGATGCTCATGACGGTAATCATTGGATTGTCTGGTCCAGACTCGATTATTTACTGGTCGCCGTCATATAGCTGGAATATTGCTGAGTGCGGCGTTAAACAATAATTTAACAATAAAATAAAATAAATCACTATCAAATAGTAACGATATCAGGATATCAGATGTTCACGAAAAGGTAAGCGGACCCGGACTCAACAGTGGCCTCCGTCACAAACACATGCAAAGGCAAGTGTTAATTGTGCTCTTGTAACAAATGAGAATTGCATTATTTTTGTCAGTGATGCGTCAAATTTGAAGACGTCCTCCTCACGTCTGCTCTTGAAAGTTTTACTAAGGACTCATAAATAAGTAATGAAAACACCTGCCTAGTTTCTGTGTATGTGCATATGTGGAGCTGCGTTATAGAACGTCCAGTCGAGGGTGGAGGTGTTCCCCGTGTACGCCCTGGCCTGCAGCGCCTCCTCCAGACAGTCGATGACAACCTGGTCCTTCTGAACGTCCACCTTGTTAGCCACCACTTCCGGTCTGCGACTCAACCAGGGCAGGTCCCTGAAGCTGAACACACACACACCGTGGACGTACTCGCCCTCACAGACGTCGTCGTCATCCTTCCACACCATCGCCCTCGACAGGAACCCCCCTTTCTTGTGGTCCACCACCACGCTGTACCCCCCTGGGGCGTCGGGCAGAGCGTTCAGCGTGCCCCACATCATCTCCTCCGGGGCGAAGGTGTCGTTGAGCCAGAGAACAAAGTCCCTTGCGATCTCACCTGTCATCACAAACTCAACAAACTTTCTAGAAAACATACCGTACATGCTTCCTTTGTAAAATGTTATGTTGTGCTTAAACGGCTCTTTAGGAATGTGGGACCTTTTCAAGACGCCATTTTCTATGTACTTATGGGTCAAGTACCGAGACTTGATGAAGTCGGGAAAGGGATACGCCTCAATATCGTTAGTTCCATTCAAGGCTTGTAAAATTTCTACTATTTCCAAATTTGTTTTCAGAGGGAATTCCTGCCCTGCCAAATTGATATAATACTTCCACCGTATGTTGGACTTGAGCAGTTCCTCCATACACACAAGGTCCGTCTGTAACAGGCCTATGGAAAAATACACCACATTTATCTTTTGAATAACGATTACGTTATGAAAACATTCCGACAGCTGTTTCATGACTTGAAACATCCGCCGCGACGACCCGTCGACGTGAACACAGTAGACGTTGTGTGGTCGATAGATGTTCCGCAGTAGTTGTTCAACCTGGCGCGGGGATTTATGCACCTTTATAGTGTATGCAATGGCGAAGTGCTTCTCCTTCAGCGCCACCGGTTTATCCAGGTAACCGTGTTGTTCTCTTAGTGACTCACAGTCTTGTAAAGCTACTAGGAAATCACAGTCTTGCTCTTGGTGGAGTCGTTTGTTGGAGAGGCTCTGGTTGGCGAACGCGTGGAATCCCCTGCCGCGGACTAGTTCTTGACACTGGAACTTCTTCTTGCCACGGATGTCGGAGAAGCAAGGGTGTTGTTTAGGTTGTCTGACGTCATCAGCCACGTGTCTTCTACTCCCTGGGGGTGTGTCCTCGTGTACCAGGAGGATGGTAAGTTCTACATACAGCTTGTAGGAGAAACACAGAATCAGCAGGGCAAACAGGGCATACAGCTTCCTCCTGATCATGGTGGTCACTGAAATACACATCACGGTTCTCTGAAGAGCTCTTATGTAAGTTATGTATGACGAGAGAGCAAAGGGGAGATGAGAGAGTGTGACAGAGAGGAGAGAGCGAGAGCAGAGGAGTGAGAGAGGAGAAAGAGAGAGATAGAAAGGAGAGAGGTGAGGTGAGGTGAAAATTGGATTTAACGTCGCGTCCAAGATTATTGCACTTATATAGCGACGTGCAGGCACGTGTGTGTGTGGCTGCTTGTACTAGTCCGGACTGATGCCGATTTATAGTGCTAGCCGACTGAGACACAGTATACTGACTCCGAGCCGACCAGTCCTTGTTTTAGCCCCTTAATGCCGAGCGCCAGACAGGGTAACAACAAGTACCATCTTTTAACGTCTTTTGGTATGACACGGCCGGGGATCGAACCCCGGACCTTCCGCATTCCGGGCGGACGCTCTACTACTAGACCACGGAGGCGGTCGAAAGGAGAGAGGGGAGAGAGAATCAGTATTGAAGACCACCTGGCCAAGAGTACAATTTCTTTTCATATGAGTTCGATAGTGGTATGTGGATGTATTACGTATTTTCAAAATACAAAAATATATTATATGTATTAATGAATATAAACTAGTGTCCAAAAGAAACGATACCACCTGTTTGCAACGACATAAAAGAAAAACTAAACAATGCAGAAGTTTAGGATTGGTGTTATGCTTTTGAGAAATCCTTTCACAACATCTGTACAAAAAATTCATTTCAATAAAATCTGTACAACCAATATGACAAGCCTTTAAAGATGGGTGGGGTCGAAAAATGAACATTGCGTTAGAGCACTGATCACAGAACAACGGGAAATGTCACACCACACGTCTCAAAGTCAAGTCAGTAGCGGGTATGTCCACCGTGAGCATCAATACATGCCAGAACACGCCTACGGACTGATGACGTCAAACGTCTGATGACGTTGGGAGTGATGCGTTGCCATTCCTCGAGGAGACATCGTTCCAAGTCCTGGACGTTGACTGGAGGCACACGGCGACGTCGGATTTGCCGATCGAGGTGGTCCCATAAGTGCTCGATGGGATTCATGTCCGTTGAACATGCGGGCCATGGCAAAACCTGTACGTTGGCGTTGGCAAGGAAGTTCTGTGTCAATCTTGCTGTGTGTGGCCTTGCATTGTCATGTTGGAAAAGGAGTCCACGAGTCTGTTGCTGAATAAAGGGCACCACAACAGGCCGTAGGATGTCATCAAGATAACGCTGTGCATTCAGGTTTCCACGAATTACGACAAGCATCGTTTTGACGTCCCCACATATGCCACCCCAAACCATTAACCCTCCACCTCCAAACGGCCGGACCTGTTGGATACAGTTAGGCGCCAAACGTTCACCAAATCGTCGGTATACAAGCTGCCGTCCATCGTTTCTGAAGATGAGGAATCTGCTCTCATCAGAGAACATAACACGTGCCCAGTCCCGCCGTTGCCAACGTCGAACTCGCCTGGCCCAGATCAGTCTGTTGTTCCGGTGTCGAGGCGTCAGGAGCGGTCCGCGGTAGGGATGACGTGGCCGGATACCATACTGCCGTAGTCTCCTGTAGACGGTCTGTCGACTGATCCTGTGTCCCAGTGCTGTAGCCGCCGTGGACGTCGCTGTTACGGTGCGGTTCCTCGGGTGTAATACCCGGATGTAACGATCTTCACGGGGCGTGGTTACTCGTGGTCTTCCACTCCTGGGCCTGTCTGACGTCTGACCTGTCTGACGTAACCGCTGCATCAACCTGGTGATAGTGATGCGTGCGCAGCCCAACCTTCTGGCGACGTCGACGTGTGACGCTCCTTGTTGGACCATTCCAACGGCTCTCTCTCTCTCGATGGCTGTCAAACGTGGCATATCTTGTGTTCTTTTTGTTGCTGTGATATCAACGTGTCTGATCAGCCGTTTTATACAGTTTTTCTGCACGTGCAGAACATGCTAGAGAGGGAAATGTCACTTTCACGAAATTTACGTTTTTTCCCGGAAGTGATCACGTGTTCCCGGTATTTTTTATCGACTATGCTGTGTTTGGGATGTGCAATACGAATTGGCATGTTTTCATACTTGACAATTCACTTAGTAAAAAACAATTTTGAAAATAAGTTGGTATCGTTTCTTTTGGACACTAGTTTATATACCCCATATATGAATACCCAACTAAGGCACAGTAAACTGACTCCGAGCCGACCAGCCGTTAATGACGAGCTCCAGGCAGGGTAACAACAAGTAACAACGACGATCGAACCATCGACCTTCCGCTCTCCGAGCAGACGCCCTATTCATTATCGCTTCACCAGGAGGCGGTCTACCAGTATCAGTCATTGACTGGGACACCCTGGTGCAGCAGTCAGGTTATAGAACACATACATGGACATGCGCAGTTTACAGTTAGTTCCAAGCGACAGCGTGGGTTAGATGTTCATTTGATCTACCCAAACCGCTGAAGTCGTAGACGTCCACGTCGTACGTGAAGCTGTCCTCGCAAATTCAGTCGTTAGGGTGACACAATGCTGATGATGTTAAACCACACTCCATTCCTCATCTTTGTGGGACAATCGTTCTCACCTTAAGCGCAGTGCTCGGTATATGATGACGTTGTACACGCATACATGATGTTGAGGATGGTGCAAGTAGCAGCGTTGTGTCGGCGGTGTCTCTACCGATCCAGGCAAAAGGCTCTACTGGTGTACGCTGACATTGTATTGTACACATAATACACGCATTGATTCGTCACCCCAGTGCGCTGTATGGACACGCGTCACCACAGTACGGTGTCTGACAGCTTGGTGAACACGCGTCAATAATCATTATAACAATCGCCATGTAGAGCTTAGCGTACCAGAGTACAGGCTCGACAATCCCCGAATTAACTACTTGATTCGCACATGGATAACAACTCCAGCTTGATAACGGTGATGACAACACCTGGCTAGTTTCTGTGTAAACTTGTTATCATGGCGTCGTACGTTTTCTAAGTCCCTGAATTGCGTCGCTGTCTTTGTTAATTATCCCTGGAAACTGTGAAAGCTTCCGAATCCAGCATATGTCGGTTTTACCAACCCATGTGGTAGTCACGAGTAGATACCTCTGAATGATATAAAATTGTATCTTCTTCAATATCCATTGACAGTTATCAACTCCAGGCTAGGACTTGAATGAGCAAGAAATAGTCTTACAAATAAAAAATAAAAAGTGTCACACTGAAGCAATGTATTTTGGTAAGTTTCAAATTCTTTCACTAATAATTATGAAACATTAAATAAACTGAAGAGGTCGAATGGAACTATCCCGCTTCGTTGATGTTATCTTATGCCTGGTGCTCAGTTGAAGTTGTCGATGTTGTATTCAAACAATGAACTGTTGGCGATGTTGTATTCAAACAATGAACTGTTGGCGATGTTGTATTCAAACAATGAACTGTTGGCGATGTTGTATTCAAACAATGAACTGTTGGCGATGTTGTATTCAAACAATGAACTGTTGGCGATGTTGTATTCAAACAATGAACAGTTGGCGATGTTGTATTCAAACAATGAACTGTTGGCGATGTTGTATTCAAACAATGAACTGTTGGCGATGTTGTATTCAAACAATGAACTGTTGGCTATGTTGTGTTCAAACAATGAACTGTTGGCGATGTTGTGTTCAAACAATGAACTGTTGGCGATGGTGTATTCAAACAATGAACTGTTGGCGATGGTGTATTCAAACAATGAACTGTTGGCGATGGTGTATTCAAACAATGAACTGTTGGCGATGCTGTATTCAAACAATGAACTGTTGGCGATGCTGTATTCAAACAATGAACTGTTGGCGATGTTGTATTCAAACAATGAACTGTTGGCGATGGTGTATTCAAACAATGAACTGTTGGCGATGTTGTATTCACACAATGAACTGTTGGCGATGTTGTACTGGCGCTAAGTCAGCATTTAAACAATACGTCTACATGGTTTTATGGGGTTTTTTAAATATAATTTGATAACTAACTTTTAAAAATGAAAAAAACAAAAGCATGATACACAATAGTTACTACTGGTGGGTGTGGTAGAATCCTGTCTTTGTAAATAAAAACGTTTGACTTTTCGGCACAAATATACAACATTTCAAACATGGCGGGGGGCATGTGATTTCTTCGTTTCTAACCCCAGTCTTCATTGAACCAATTATTATTACCCAGCATTACCCAGCATTACCCAGCATTACCATGCATTACCCAGCCCCCGATTACTGTCTACCAACTGCACCAAATGAAAGATGGTGAAATAGACATATTCATATTCAAGAACAGTTCTCTTAATTTCAAATGACCTAAAAAACAAGCTTGGTATACTTTCATTTGCCCCTTGTTTAAATTTGTTGAAAGTTTCCAATCAGTTTTTACGAACTCCCGACTCTGCGGGCACCAGGCATTGTTTCCATGTTGACATTTGAATGATCTGATGTAGCTGCGTTGAAAGTGTCAACATTGGCCTTTCCAGATTTGAAAAAGAAAACGTTGATATCTGACATTGTTTCAACATTGTAAGTAATCTAATATTCCACATTTCATAAAAAACAAAGTCTGTGATTTTTTTATGAAATACACATTTTACCTTGGTATCCATAATATATTTATGGACTCTAGACTCTTACCAAGAGATACTGATATAAAGATCTAATACATATAGAAATACAATTGGTTTAACGATGCCAACCAAAATACTCTTCTTAACCATGGGAATTAATTTTGACATTGAATGGTTTAATTGCCAGGACATCTCCCATTTAACCTGAACATTCCGGTGCTGTCCTAGGCAGTGTGACGTCGGTTAATCCAACCATGGAACCCGCGAAGATATGCCCTGCATTCAAATTCGACTTCAGTAAGAGGCGACTAACGGGATCGGTTCGTCAGGTTCGCTGTCTTGGTTGATGCATGCCGTATCCCAATTGGTGGGTCGATGCTCACGGTATCAATCACTGGATTGTTTGGTCCAGATTTACAGACCGCCGTGCGGCGTTAAACAACAAACAAAAACAACACACAAACAATTCCACCATGGAGCTCAGTCAGCCCCGGCAGACCAAGAGTCACCACCACTCTCTCCACCTCTCTCTCCAACTCTCTCTCCACCTCTCTCTCCAACTCTCTCTCCAACTCTCTCTCCTCCAGTCTCTCCACCTCTCTCTCCTCCAGTCTCTCCACCTCTCTCTCCTCCAGTCTCTCCACCTCTCTCTCCTCCAGCCTCTCCACCTCTCTCTCCACCTCTCTCTCCAACTCTCTCTCCACCTCTCTCTCCAACTCTCTCTCCATCTCTCTCTCCACCTCTCTCTCCACCTCTCTCTCCAACTCTCTCTCCACCTCTCTCTCCAACTCTCTCTCCTCCAGTCTCTCCACCTCTCTCTCCAACTCTCTCTCCTCCAGTCTCTCCACCTCTCTCTCCAACTCTCTCTCCTCCAGTCTCTCCACCTCTCTCTCCAACTCTCTCTCTAACTCTCTCTCCTCCAGTTTCTCCACCTCTCTCTCCACCTCTCTCTCCAACTCTCTCTCCACCTCTCTCTCCACCTCTCTCTCCAACTCTCTCTCCACCTCTCTCTCCTCCAGTCTCTCCACCTCTCTCTCCAACTCTCTCTCCAACTCTCTCTCCACCTCTCTCTCAAACTCTCTCTCCACCTCTCTCTCCAACTCTCTCCACCTCTCTCTCCAACTCTCTCTCCACCTCTCTCTCCACCTCTCTCTCCAACTCTCTCTCCTCCAGTCTCTCCACCTCTCTCTCCACCTCTCTCTCCAACTCTCTCTCCTTCAGTCTCTCCACCTCTCTCTCCACCTCTCTCTCCAACTCTTTCTCCTCCAGTCTCTCCACCTCTCTCTCCACCTCTCTCTCCACCTCTGTCTCCACCTCTCTCTCCAACTCTCTCTCCACCTCTCTCTCCACCTCTCTCTCCAACTCTCTCTCCTCCAGTCTCTCCACCTCTCTCTCCACCTCTCTCTCCAACTCTCTCTCCACCTCTCTCTCCACCTCTGTCTCCACTCTCTCCACCTCTCTCTCCACCTCTCTCTCCAACTCTCTCTCCACCTCTCTCTCCATCTCTCACTCCACCTCTCTCTCCTCCAGTCTCTCCACCTCTCTCTCCACCTCTCTCTCCAACTCTCTCTCCACCTCTCTCTCCTCCAGTCTCTCCACCTCTCTCTCCACCTCTCTCTTCACCTCTCTCTCCACCTCTCTCTCCTCCAGTCTCTCCACCTCTCTCTTCACCTCTCTCCAACTCTCTCTCCACCTCTCTCCACCTCTCTCCACCTCTCTCTCCAACTCTCTCTCAACCTCCCTCTCCAACTCTCTCTCCACCTCTCTCTCCACCTCTCTCTCCAACTCTCTCTTCAACTCTCTCTCCACCTCTCTCTCCACCTCTCTCTCCAGCTCTCTCTCCACCTCTCTCTCCTCCAGTCTCTCCACCTCTCTCTCCAACTCTCTCTCCACCTCTCTCTCCAACTCTCTCTCCAACTCCCTCTCCGCCTCTCTCTCCACCCAGCCTGGTTCCCTGGGTATGCTGCGCGGGCGCTACACTGACCCAGGCAATGACTGCGCGGGCGCTACACTGACCCAGGCAATGACTGCGCGGGCGCTACACTGACCCAGGCAATGACTGCGCGGGCGCTACACTGACCCAGGCAATGACTGCACTGGCGCTACACTGACCCAGGCAATGACTGCACAATGTCCGCCTCCACTAGACAACCAAACATGGCGGGCACGACATGTATTTACTATAGAAAAACGCTAGAACGGGTGGTTATTTTTTTTTCTTAGCATTTGCATGAATCCTCTTGCAATGTATACGTCACGAGAATAACGCCCATTGTTACTTTTAATGAAGGAAAACATTATTTAAGTTGTTTCGAGACTCGAAAGTGGTCGTTACATCGGTGAAATGTAAACAATGACACACACCCCAATTTTCGACAGTGATATTTTCGTTAATATTTCGTGTCAGCTCACTGTTGTCACGAAATAGTATACATACTACATGGAATTAAACGACCGCATCAACTGGGCTTTCAATAACTCCGCCTGACCCGCCATTTTACAATGGGAGAAAACGGGGCAAAATCGGCGACATTTGGGTAATCAGATTTGCTAAAGTAAAGATGCTAACGGTATTTCATTGTCGTGTTCGTGTAATTCTATGTATTGTGTATAAGATTCGTGACAAGAGTGAGCTGACACGACAAATTGACGCACATATCACTGTGGAAGATGGGGGGTGTTTTCCTTCACTCAAAGTAACAATGGATGTTATTGCATATTGCAAGAGGATTCGTGAAAATGCGAAGATAAAATTTTAACCACCCGTTCTAGCGTTTTTCTATAGTAAATACATGTCGTGCCCGCCATGTTTGTTTGTCCAGTGGAGGCGGACATTGTGCAGAACCAGGCTGGGTCCACCCCTCTCCCCACCACATTCTTCACCCCAGTATTTTCCCTCTCCACCCAGAGTCCCTCGCCCGACTGCTCCAACTCAGCCATCGCTCCGGCTTCATTCAGCGTCTATCTGGTCACAGCCACGACAGCCGCGACAACCTACATACTGAACCAGGGTATTGTTATCTGCCTCCTTGTGTTTCATCACGTGACGCGGCGACAGTCATGCAGTGCGCTGAGCCAGGTCAGCAGTCATGGGCTTGTTGGAATACCTCGACCTGCCGACTGTGCTGGTGTTTCTTGTGGCCTTTGTAATAATCTACAATGTCCTGACTCGTGCCGAGAACCCACCCCCGTCACCACGTGGGCTGCCGGTGGTGGGGAACATGTTGCAGCTGAGTGCCAACAGAGGCAGGCTTCCAGAGGCCTTCATGAAGCAGGCGGTGGAGTTGGGCGACGTCTTCAGTCTGACGTTCGGCAGGCTCCACATCGTGGTGGTGAGCGGCTATGCCCGGATACAGGAGGTGCTCATGAAGCGAGCGGATGTGTTCAGCGACCGACCCGACTTCCTGCTTCTCACCCAGAAAATAGGAACGGGTGAGTTGATGTGACTGATGTCAGGGTGAGTTGGTGTGACTGATGTCAGGGTGAGGTGTGACTGATGTCAGGGTGAGGTGTGACGGATGTCAGGGTGAGTTGATGTAACTGATTTCAGGGTGAGGTGTGACTGATGTCAGGGTGAGGTGTGACTGATGACAGGGTGAGTTGATGTGACTGATGTCAGGGTGAGTTGGTGTGACTGATGTCAGGGTGAGTTGGTGTGACGGATGTCAGGGTGAGTTGATGTTACTGATTTCAGGGTGAGGTGTGACTGATGTCAGGGTGAGGTGTGACTGATGTCAGGGTGAGTAGGTGTGACTGATTTCAGGGTGAGTAGGTGTGACTGATTGCAAGGTGAGTAGGTGTGACTGATTGCAAGGTGAGTAGGTGTGACTGATTGCAGGGTGAGTAGGTGTGACTGATTGCAGGGTGAGGTGTGACTGATTGCAAGGTGAGTAGGTGTGACTGATTGCAAGTTGAGGTGTGACTGATTGCAGGGTGAGGTGTGACTGATTGCAAGGTGAGTAGGTGTGACTTACAGCAGGGTGAGGTGGTGTGACTGATGTCAGGGTGAGTAGGTGTGACTGATGTCAGGGTGAGGTGTGACTGATGTCAGGGTGAGTAGGTGTGATTGATGTCAGGGTGAGACGTGACTGATGTCAGGGTGAGGTGTGACTGATGTCAGGGTGAGGTGGTGTAACTGATGTCAGGGTGATGTGTGACTGATTTCACGGGGAGTAGGTGTGACTGATGTCAGGGTGAGGTGTAACTGATGTCAGGGTGAGGTGGTGTCACTGATGAGTAGGTGTGATTTCACGGGGAGTAGGTGTAACTAGAATTTGGGTCATGAACGTGGATGACAGAGCGCTTTTCATAAAGATTTTAATGTAGAGCGTGGATTGAAATATTGACTCAAAGAGCCTGGCTGAACGACAGCCAATCACCACGCATGCCTACACATATACTACTAATCACTGCGTGATCAGAATAAGCAGAAGAGAAGGTTGTACACTTCAGAAACCCGTCAGTTCAGAGAACGCAACACCCGTTGTACACCAACAGCGTGGAGATAGAGACTGCCACTCAGTAGTATAACTGTCTGGGCCGAGTAGTTACACCAACAGCGTGAAGATAGAGACTGCCAGTCAGTAGTATAACTGTCTGGGCCGAGTAGTTACACAAACTTTGGATCTCAATGCCATGGCCGGGAATACTGCTTGTAAATCCCTCAGACTATTAATAGCAAAAACAAAAGCATTGGGTGGTATCCCTTTTAACATCTTTACAAACCATTATGACAGCATGGTATGGTCAACCCTAAACTACGGGGCGGCCTTATGGGGAACATCAGATACATCTTGTACGTGGTACAGAGTCGAGCGATCAGGTACTTTCAGGGATTAGAAAAGTATGCAGCTAGCGCAGCAGTGACTGGAGGGTTATCTCCCAAAACCCCTACATCCCATTTCCCCTACAACCCAGTTCCCCTACAATTAGTTAAAACAACACACGGCATTTACCTGACAGGATGGGTACCTACTATAGTTCGACAGTTGAAGAGCATTACAACACAATGGTGTAGATTCAAGATGATGCCACATAGGCTAACAGAGTGAGTGAGTGAGTTGGGTTTAACGCCGCTTTAAACGGTATTACAGTTATATTGCGACGTGACAGGTTAATGTGGGAGGAAAGCCCAAAGTGATGCAGGTTTCAGACGTTTACCACTTCGGTGAAACCCACGAGCACGGGTATGATGCTGACATACCTAGAACATTAATCGGGGCGAACCGGGATTCATAGGTGTCTGGCGTGCCCAAGGGACGCAACTCTGCACAGCGAACAGCCACCCGTTCCCCCAGGCCTAACAGAACCACACGTGAGTGGGCAGATCGTCATGCTGTAGACAGAGAGAGAGTGAGTGGTGGATAATAAACTATCAGAGGCAAGCCTACAGAACGCAGGCCATAGTGTCAAGAAGTCTGTGTACATGTGTAATGAGGTGGGACGGTGTGTTCTGAAATTATACAGAAGGAAAATGGAAGGCAAGGAAAACATAAACTGAGACAGAATATGGAATTGAAAATAATCTACTACGACATTTGTTTGTGACATGAATGGTACGACATTTGATTGTGACATGAATGGTATATTTGCCTAACACATTCCGTTCAGCTTTAGCCAAGTTTAGATGTGGTGTAGCGCCGATAAAAATAGAAACTGGGAGTTTTGAAAATATTTCAGAAAAAAATGGAGTGTTTTAATTACAGAAATAGAAAATGAATCATGTTCTTTTATTTTGCCCCCTCTACGATCTGAGGAACCTCCTTTCAGAAAACTGTCAGTATATGATACAGATTGTAGTACTTTCAGCAATGATGATAAGTTGTGTTTTGTTCTGCATAATTGTGGTGTAAGTTATTTAAGTGCCAAACCTGCTACCGAATGTTACACAGACGTAGACATAGGTTATATGGATAACCCATTACTCTTCAATACGTGTTTATTTGTGTATACTTGTTATTGGTTTTATATTCTAATATCATCTCTCATAACTCTTTTTAAAATTACCTATTTCTGGTGTTCCCCGCCGTGATATCGCTCGAATATTGCTAAAAACGGCGTAAAAAAGTACTCACTCGCTCACTTTTAAAGATTGGCTTTGTATCTGTAACTACTGCACTAGTTATGATGTAATCAAAGGTGAGACAATAGAGGTTGAACATCACTTAAGTGATTTGCCATCAGGTGTAAATGTACTTTCATGAGGGTGTGGGGCAAATGAGGTGGAGGCACAACATGGTCGTGGAATGTGTACATAGTGAGAATATCAGCATGAGTTGGTCAGCCTCGCCGTATAACGGAGTACTTATTATGATGGGAAAGCGCTGTGCTGTAAAGGCAGGGTCGTGACGAGATGCTGCGTGCCAGTGGCGCAAAAAGGGTAAGAGATGGCCGTGATTGGTTGCTGGTGACGTCATCAAAACAGTGGGATTTCAAGGTTATGAATGTGCGCAGACAGTCGGTACAGTGGGACTGAGGCTGAGTGTAGGGGATGGGCCGTCGCTTCACAGCTGCAGGACTCAAGGTCGTCGCCAAGTGGTCATCAATCTGACAACGAATCATAAACGTTCACTTTTGTTTTGTTCGTTTCTTGTTTAACGCCGCACTCCGCAATATTCCAGCTGTATGACGGCGGTCTGTAAATAATCGAGTCTGGGCAAGACAATCCTGTGATTGACATCATGAGCATCGATCTACGCAATTGGAATACGGACATGCATCAACCAAGACAGAGAGCCTGACCACCCGATCCCTGTGGTCGCCTCTATCAACAAGCATTGTCGCCTTGTACAGCAAGCAGTGATTGTTGAAGACCTATTCTACCCCGGATCTTCAGAGGTCTAAACGTTAACTAACAGAGTGGAGACTGCATCACAGTGACGCCATCCGGAGGATTGTTTGTCAGTCTTACTTCCAACCAGATAAAGACTGGCCACAGCTCCTGTGTCAGTGGAGTTAAAACTCCTGATGAGTGAGTGAGTGAAAGACTGGCTAGTTACCCACGAACTATATACACTGTACATATCTGCCTCTCAACACTCTCTGACGTTCATTGTCAGGATGATCATGAAGGTTTATAACATACACTAAATATAAAAATTGTTTAATGTAAAGCGGGCATATCATCTGTCATGTTCCCGAGACAAGGGCGTTGACTGTCAAAAGAAGTCCAGTTTCCACCCATGCCGAACTGGGCTGGAATTTCCAAGCTCGATCAAAGCGCCACCAGTGGCTATTACGAGTCATGTCCCTTCTAAGTTTCTCCTATTGACCAATCAGATTCCATCTCTCATATTACTTGCATTTGCTTCAAACAAAATGACGGACCCCAGTCAAGACGATCTGCTCGATAATCGAGATCTATATTGTATTTAAACTAGGTCTTGCCATGCGAAGTGCATCAAATCGCGTGTGCACCGTGATTAAACGCATTAAAGAATTTGTAAAAGATCTGTCGGCGCCAGTTGTCGGCACACATGCCTTCGACCGACGTTGAACTCCATGTTGTTTACGAACCGGGTGTCTAGTTCGTTTTGATTGGACTATGAAAAGACTAGTTAGTCCAGCAAAAATGTAACTCCATAATTGCAGCCTAGTTAGGTAAGGGTGGAAACTGGACTTTTAAAGTCAGTTAACTCCCTTGCCCCAGGAAGATGATCATCTTTGCCCGGTACGCTGTTTCAGGGGTCATCTTAAGCAACGGACAGCAATGGAAAGATCTCCGGCGAATGAGCCTCCACGCGATGAGAGACTTCGGTATGGGGAAATCGACTACAGAAGAGAAGGTGCAAGATGAGGTGAAGGTCATCATGGGGATCCTGTCTGACAATGAGAACAAACCGATACAGGTGCACAAATACCTGGCCCTGGCCACGTCTAACATCATCTGCAACATCATCTTTGGATCAAGGTGAGAATGGACCCCGATACTTGTATCGGAGGTGACTAGAGAGAGAGAGAGAGAGAGAGAGAGAGAGAGAGAGAGAGAGAGAGAGAGAGAGAGAGAGAGAGAGAGAGAGAGAAAGAGAAAGAGAGAGAGAGGGGGGGAAGAGAGAGAAAGAGAAAGAGAGAGAGAGATGGGGGGAGAGAGAGAGAGAGAGAGATTATTCAGTATTGAAGACCTCATGGCTAAGAGTACAATCTCTTTTCATATATAATCAGTACGATGGTGGTATGTGGATGTTTTACGTAATTTCTAAATACAATAATAATTATCTATAAATAAATATCTATCTTTAATACAGATAAATACTTCTTCTTAAGAAACAGGCAAATTTCTCCTTAAATAAAGAGCAAAACCTCGGTTCATGTTTGCCGTAGACTCATACCTACATTTGGTCGTTTTTTTTGACATTGTATTCCAGCTATATGACGGCGGTCTGTTACTAATCGAGTCTGGACCTGACAATCCAGTGATTGACATCATGAGCATCGATCCACGCAACTTGGTTACGATGACGTGCATCAACCAAGTCAGCGAGCCTGATCGTCCGATTGTTTGTCACTCGATCGCTTAGTCGCTTCTTACAACGAGCATAGCTGCTGATGCCCTGCCTATCGTGGCACTTCCTGTACATGCTGGTGTCGATTGAGTCCTTCCTACCCTGGAGCCAGGTGTACGGGTGCTGGTGCACACTGATACCTTCCTGTCATTTAGCTAGGTTGTCGAGTGTCATCCCGGGTAGATGGTCTCTGTTAATACTTTGCTGTCTGCAGGTTTGAGTACGAGGACGAGCAGTTCCAGAAGATGGTGCGGCTGTTGAACGACGTCTTTCAGAGGCCCGGCTTGTTCCAAATATGCAATGCATTTCCCATCTTAAGATTTGTTCCTCATTTCAAAAAGGTGAGTGATTAACCGTTGTTCGTTCGTTCGTTCGTTCGTTCGTTCGTTCGTTCGTTCGTTCGTGCGTGCGTGCGTGAGTGAGTGCGTGAGTGCGTGAGACTGATTGTCTGTTTACCTTGTACAGGGATTAGTTGACAACATTGAAGCATTCGACCGCCTGGCGCAGTTTGTCAGCGACATCGTCACGGATCATGAATCGACATACGACCCAGACAACATTCGAGACTTCATCGACATGTTCATCAAGTTCCGTGATGAGGACAAGGACGCGTCCTACACACGTACGTCTGATCTGTTTCCATGGTGACATGTTCTAGCATATCTGTACATCGGCTACATATCTGATGTGCATTGTCGCAGTACACTTGAAATACACGTGGCGTGTCCTTTGTTTCCTAGACCATTTGGCAGCCTGGTTCCCTGGGTATGCTGCGCTTACGCTAGTGTAGCGTGATTGTAAACCGTACACCTACTGACCCACCCACATATAGTTCGTCTCAAATTCTAACCGATTTAAAACCAAAAAAAATCCTTTGGTTGATAGAATCTTTATGTTCTTTATATCGATGCTAACCAGTACCAATATGGATTATCCCGAGGGCCGAGATATGGTGTCGAGATATGGTGCCGACATATGGTGCCGAGATATGATGTCGAGATATGGTGTCGAGATATGGGTTCGAGATATGGTGCTGAGATATGGTGTCGAGATATGGTGTCGAGATATGGTGTGGAGATATGGTGTGGAGATATGGTGCCGAGATATGATGTCGAGATATGGTGTCGAGATATGGTGCCGAGATATGGTGCCGAGATATGGTGCCGACATATGGTGTCGAGATATGGTGTCGAGATATGGTGTCGGCATATGGTGTGGAGATATGGTGTGGAGATATGGTGTCGAGATATGGCCCAGATATGGTGTGGAGATATGGTGTGGAGATATGGTGTGGAGATATGGTGTCGAAATATGGTGTCGAGATATGGCGCAGATATGGATAAGATATGTCGAGATGGACCCTGGGAATTGTCCTTGAAATGCCTTCTGTCTTCTTCCAGTCCGAAACTTCCTACGGGTGATTGTCGACCTGTTCATGGCGGGCACGGAGACGTCCTCGACAACGTTGAACTGGGCCCTGCTGTACATGATCGCCTACCCCGACATCCAGGCGCGCTGCCAGGTCGAGATGGAGGAGGTAGGCACCGCTGACGCACCCAGCACCATGCGAGCCTTGTTGACAACTTAGAATGTCGGGGCGGTCGGGTAGCCTAGTGGTTAAAGCGTTCGCTCGTTACGCCGAAGACCCGGGTTCGATTCCCGACATGGGTACAATGTGTGAAGCCCATTTCTGGTGTCCCCCGCCGTGATATTGCTGGAATATTGCTAAAGGTGGCGTGAAACCATACTCACTCACTCACTAATTCACTCACTTAGAATGTCAGAAGCCGAGTACCGGTGCCTACTGTGCTGATTTGCGTCATGGAGAATAGACGTGTGGTTTTATAAAGGGGAACAAAAGTTATTAGGAAAACGAGCGTTGATGGAAGTAACTGTTAATTTAAGCAGACTTGACTTTTTAAAAATATTTGATACACAAAATTCAATCAATTATGTTATGTAGTTCTGAAGATTAGGGTTTACAAAGGTATGAAAAGATAGAATATGTTCACATAATCAAAGACATTTCTAAATGCCAGACACCAAATGTCTTTACCAATGCTGAATGTGATCTTTACCCTTTACGTAAACGGTGTTCATGTTTTGTAGGGTTGTATATAGGTTGAAATTAATAGAATGTATAATGGCAGGATACCGACAAAGACCCAGATTACGCTTGTATATCATGTTTACTCTGGATATAACAACCATGTGGCATAAAGTCCATCTTTCTATTTTCACACGGATTTGGGTTTGGATTTTGTGTTAATCAGTGGATGAAAAAGTACTTTTTTCTAAAAGTATATCAATATGTTCTCATAAATGCATTTTCAGTTGTGGAATAGCACTTTGAACAATAGTTCAAAACTTTATTAGACTTGAAAAGTAAATATCTGTCATCTCAGACAAGGAGTATCGTCACATAATTATTCGACTTAGAGTCGGATTGTTAGTACTGAAGGTAAATGAAGGTTGATCGTTGGGAACAAAGTCGTCACTACGAACACATCGTGTATGTACTGTATTTACTATTATGGTAACTTTAGAAAATATTATTTATCGAAAATGGACTGTCAATATTCAACCCAGAATAAGTTTCAAATGTTATTATCTGGATTTGGGAAAAATTGCGAAAATAACCTGTGTAGATTTAATTCGTGTCGCAAAGCCATGACGTCAAGAGACACAAATCATAAACGTAGATTTACCATGTTGTGTTTGTTAATTATCTCATATATCATGCAAATGGGCCAGCGGCCTCCATAGGAAACAAACACTTAACTTGACTAAACCAGTGGACAAACTAAAGCATACACCCATGTTGGGTTGTCAATAAAATGAAAACAAACAAGAGAATGTTATTCAATGATGGTGTATTCGCTAAAAGGGTCACCCGCGATACTCCATGCACAATTACAGTGCGACACTCAAAACAGGTGACGTGTACATGACGTTTACGTGAACATGGGGGCAGGCAGATCACAGTTCACAGGAATGATCAGAGTGAACTAGGTACTGTCTTGATAAGTTTGTGGTCTTTAACGGATACCTGGTACACTCAGTAACGGGTATGACCACCGTGAGCACCGCCGCACGTCTAGACTCGCCGCCTCATTGATGTCGTCAGCCGCCTGATGACGTCATCGGGAATCAATTCTTACAGCGTCAGCAATCTGTTGCTGGTTTGGTGGTGGGTGTGGACGTCATCGGGAATCAATTCTTACAGCGTCAGCAATCTGTTGCTGGTTTGGTGGTGGGTGTGGACGTCATCGGGAATCAATTCTTACAGCGTCAGCAATCTGTTGCTGGTTTGGTGGTGGGTGTGGACGTCATCGGGAATCAATTCTTACAGCGTCAGCAATCTGTTGCTGGTTTGGTGGTGGGTGTGGACGTCATCGGGAATCAATTCTTACAGCGTCAGCAATCTGTTGCTGGTTTGGTGGTGGGTGTGGACGTCATCGGGAATCAATTCTTACAGCGTCAGCAATCTGTTGCTGGTTTGGTGGTGGGTGTGGACGTCATCGGGAATCAATTCTTACAGCGTCAGCAATCTGTTGCTGGTTTGGTGGTGGGTGTGGACGTCATCGGGAATCAATTCTTACAGCGTCAGCAAGCTGTTGCTGGTTTGGTGGTGGGTGTGGACGTCATCGGGAATCAATTCTTACAGCGTCAGCAATCTGTTGCTGGTTTGGTGGTGGGTGTGGACGTCTCCGGACCTGACGCTTCAGGTGATCCCATAAGTATTCAATTGGGTTCAAGTGAGATGAGAGTGCTGGCCACGGAAGAACGTTGACGTTCGTATTCAAGAAGTCCTGGACGAGCCTTGCAGTGTGTGGTCTAGCGTTGTCATAATGCAGGAGTGTTCCCTGTTGCTGTTGGAGAAGGAGTGGAAGCACCACGGGTTGAAGAACATCATCTCTGTATCGAATGATGACAAGTCTCGTCCGTTGGTTACCACAAATTCCACCCCAAACCATCACAGCACCACCACCATAGGGAACTTCCCCCTGCGACGGTATACTCGAGCTAGACCATCATTGTGAAACAGCTGAAACCTGCTTTCGTCAGAGAAAAGCACTCTCTGCCAAACACGGTCATGGCAACGTCGTACTGTCCTTGCCCATAGCAGATTTTTAGGTCAATGTTCTCGGGTCAATGTCATTCCACGGAATGGAAGGCGAGCTCTTATATCTGCGTCACGTAGACGTCGAAGTAATGTGCGTCGACTGATACGGTGTCCTAACGCCGTTGCTGCCGTTTCCGTCGCCGTGACGAACCTGTTGCGCAGATGGTACAGTCTGGTGCTAGTCTGTCTGAAGCATTGAAACAGTCTGACGACCGTTGTCTGTATACAGTTTATGTTTCTAGCAATCTGGATTTGGTTGGCTCCAATCTGCTCCATATCTATGTCTGTCTCTCTCTGTCTCTCTCTGTCTCTCTGTGTCTCTGTCTCTCTCTCTCTCTCTCTCTCTCTCTCTCTCTCTCTCTCTCTCTTTCTCTCTCTCTCTCTCTTTGTTCGTCACTTAACCGTGGCATATCTTTTATTACGTGTGATGATTTAGCAACGGTTATCGCCCTTTTATACAAATTCAGCACGTGCAATTTTACGAACACCTGGAAAAGCTGATGCGTGACTTTTTGCCACTGCGCCCAACGCGTTGCGTTTTTGAGATTGATTTTGCAGTTCTAGGGCAACTGTTTTACGCCTTATTCCATTTTGCTCATTTTGATAGTTTTGGGGGGACAATTCATTTTAAAAGTGTATACTTTCTTTTGCCAATGAGTTTATATGTGCTTATAGCATGTGCTTTGACTTAAGGTCATTGGTCCCGGCAGAATGGTGCAGTTCTCGGACAGACTCAAGTTGCCCTATGTTGAATCTACACTGTGTGAGATACAGAGAATATCCACCATAGGTAAGAGTGACTTATGTTAAATCTACACTAAGATACGGACAATATCCACCATAGGTAAGAGTGACTTATGTTGAATCTACACTAAGATACGGACAATATCCACCATAGGTAAGAGTGACTTATGTTGAATCTACACTGTGTGAGATACAGAGAATATCCACCATAGGTAAGAGTGACTTATGTTAAATCTACACTAAGATACGGACAATATCCACCAAAGTTAAGTGGGGCTTAAGTGTGTGTCCCATATCTGTGTAACAGTACGAATTAGCCTAAGGCAAGTTTTTGTCAGAGTTGTTCCCCCTAGTTTCCATGCTGTTGTTGTTGTTGTTGTTGTTGTTGTTGTTGTTGTTGTTGTTGTTGTTGTCAAGCACCCATGGCCATCATGTATCCCGTCACATCTGTGTCTCCACCCACAGCCCCCCTGTCCGTGCCCCACGCCACGCTCCAGGCAACCACCCTGGGGGGCTTCGCCATCCCCCGGGAGTCCATCGTCCTCGTCAACCTCCTGTCGGTGCACATGGACCCCGCCCTCTGGCCGGACCCCGGGACCTTCAACCCGGACAGATTCCTCAAGGACGGGAAGGTCCACAGAGGAGAATATTTCATGCCCTTCTCTGCTGGTAACTTATTTTATAGAACTTGTAACATTGTTTATCATACATTCATGCCCTTCTCTGCTGGTACTTATTATATAGAACTTGTAACATTGTTTATCCTACATTCACACCCTTCACTGCTGGTAACTTATTATATAGAACTTGTAACATTGTTTATCCTACATTCACGCCCTTCGCTGCTAGTAACTTATTAAATTGAACTTGTAACATTGTTTATCCTACATTCACGCCCTACTCTGCTGGTAACTTATTATATAGAACTTGTAACATTGTTTATCCTACATTCACGCCCTTCTCTGCTGGTAACTTATTAAATTGAACTTGTAACATTGTTTATCCTACATTCACGCCCTTCTCTGCTGGTAACTTATTATATAGAACTTGTAACATTGTTTATCCTACATTCACGCCTTTCATTGCTGGTAACTTATTATATAGAACTTGTAACACTGTTTATCATACATTCACGCCCTTCTCTGCTGGTAACATATTATATAGAACTTGTAACATTGTTTATCCTACATTCACGCCCTTCTCTGCTGGTAAACATATAACGTTGTTTACGCCTCTCTCTGTCGGTAAACATGTAGCTTTATGTCTGTTATCTTATGACATCTTATCAATTAAGTTGATCACACATGTAATGGAACGTCGTATTCATCTGTAGTTCGTTTCCTGATTTCCAAGGATTTTTTTGCGATATGTCCTTTGTGAGGTCGATAATTCAATGGATAATATATTCAATGGATAATATATTCAGTGGATGATATATTCAGTGGATGATACATTCAATGGATGATACACTCAATGGATGATATATTCAACGGATGATATTTTCTATGGTTGATATACTCAGTGGATGATATATTCAATGGGTGATATATGCAATGGATGATATATTCAACGGATGATATATTCTATGGATGATATATTCAGTGGATGATATATTCAATGGGTGATATATGCAATGGATAATATATTAAACGGATGATATATTCTATGGATGATATATTCAATGGATGATATATTCTATGGATGATATATTCAGTGGGTGCTATATTCAATGGGTGATATATGCAATGGATAATATATTAAACGGATGATACATTCAGTGGATGATACATTCAATGGATGATACACTCAATGGATGATATATTCAACGGATGATATATTCTATGGTTGATATATTCAGTGGATGATATATTCAATGGGTGATATATGCAATGGATGATATATTCAACGGATGATATATTCTATGGATGATATATTCAGTGGATGATATATTCAATGGGTGGTTTATGCAATGGATAATGTATTAAACGGATGATATATTCTATGGATGATATATTCAATGGATGATATATTCTATGGATGATATATTCAGTGGATGCTATATTCAATGGGTGATATATGCAATGGATAATATATTAAACGGATGATACATTCAATGGATGATACATTCAATGGATAATATATTCTATGGATGATATATTCTATGGATGATATATTCAGTGGATGATATATTCTTTGGATGATATATTCAGTGGATGATATATTCAGTGGATGATATATTCAACGGATGATATATTCAGTGGATGCTATATTCAGTGGATGCTATATTCTATGGATGATGTATTCAGTGGATGATACATTGTATTCTGTTCATGCCAGGTCCCCGGGTGTGTGCTGGCGAGACTCTGGCCAAGATGGAACTGTTCCTCTACTTCGCCAACCTCCTACAATGGTTCACATTTAAGAAAGTAGATGGGGCGACTTTGAACCTGGAAGGGGTCACTGGATTAACTCGATCTCCCAGGCCGTTTGAAGTAGTGGTGACCAAACGCTAGTGTTCCCCAGCAGACTGGTGGTCAATACGCCGACAGATTCCCCGGGACTGACATTCTACAATCCAGACCACATGAAACAGTCTTAACGCATACGTATTACAACATAGTTACTCATTCCTTCTCATGTCGCGGACGGAGTTCTTCTAATGCACTAAACAGTCGGCATATATAGAAATATTTGGATGGCAAATGTTATTTGTCGATAATTCAATTTGGTGAAGAATGTGTTCAGCTTGTATACGTGCTCTCTGTAAGTTAGACCGCCTCCGTGGTCTAGTTGTAGAGCGGCAGGTTTGGGGTTCTATCCCCGGACGCGTCATACCAAAACGTTAAAATATGTTATTTGTGTCGCCCTGTCTGGCGCTCGGCATTATCGGGCTAAAACAAGGACTGATCGGCTCAGAGTCAGACAGACAGACAGGTTTGTTCAGTATTATGGCCATATGGCCTAAAGTACAATTGATACTACCTCATAATATGATGTCACGTGCATATACAGAAATTACATCTTCTTGAATCTGATAGAAAAAAACATGCTTTATATAACTAGCCACTCAAAAGATAACATTTTTATTTTGTGAGTTGATGATAAGTATCATTAACATTTCAGATGTATAGTCATTACTCAAGAAGGGGAGATATGTAGATCTTAACTTGGAATACTTGTTCCACTTAAATAAGACATGGAATTCATCTTCAATTTCACTTCTGTCACAATTGGTACAAACACTGTTAACAGCATCAATATCTTTCGATTTACGACACATAATTACATTAAAATTATGTAATGAGAATTTAAATTTACAACACGATCTTATTAATGACTTAATAGATAAATACATTCCCTGATGAAGATGTGTCTTTAGTCTACTATTATTGCTAAGATAATGCGAAGATGAAACAGTATCGTTCCAGTTTGCGCAAATATATCTTTCACTCCCTGCTTAAATATTCCCATTAACACTTGAATGTTTCCAACATCTGTGCAAACCACACAAAAGAAAAACCACATGTAAATAATAGATTGTTTACTTCATATACTCAGTTTTGTTTACCTTTATCATCCAACTGCTTTAACAATTTATAACATTGAAGAGGATATCTACATTCTTCCATTCTTAGTAACTTTATCCAGTATTTAACTACTCTTACTTGGCTATGCGCAAACATATTGCAGCGTTCAGTTTCACCAAGAATTACTTTATTTGAGGAATATTTACAAATACCCAAAAACGTTTGAAGTGTGAGGTATGTACTTTTTCGATTGCAGCATAATATTTTGTTCCCCATATTTCCGAACCATATAGTAATATTGGTGCAATTTGACAATAAAACATATTGCATGCTGTTGAAAATGATATATACCTATTTTGTTTAAACAATTTATACACAGGCATAGCAAGTTGTTTACATGCTACTGACCACCTTAATGTAGAAGAAAACATGATACCCAAATATGTATAGTAAGTTTCAACCTTGACCAAAGTATTTCCATAAGTCCACTTTTCCCTATTGGCAAGAATACCACCATTTCTAAAGACCATATGTTTGTTTTATTTACATTTACCTCCAGTCCCCATTTCATTCAAAGTGATTGCAATACATTTAACTGTTTTTGTAAACTGCTTACTGCAAATGAAAATAGTCAGCAATATATCACCAGCAAACAATAGCATCATAATATCATCAATATCTTCATGGACATACGCGTATATACCATAATTACATTGTTTATGAATTTCAATAACAAGTTCATTGATAAAGAAAATGAACAAAACAGGACTCAAAATACACCCCTGTCTCACACCTCGGGACGTTGAAAATCAATCTGTTTTTCCCTTGTTAGTCATTATACATGCTTTTACTGATGAATACATACTTTGCAGAACATTAAATATTTTCCCATGACAACCCTTCATTACAAGTAGATACAGTAACCTTTGCCTATCCACAAAATCGAAGGCTTTCTTAAAATTAACGAAAGCACAGTAAAAATGTCCCTTCGGTTTGCAAATATATTTCGAGCACAATGACTGTAAAATGTACATATTATCTATGGTAGAATAGTTAGAGCGAAAACCAGCTTGAGATTCCGATATAAAACTGACGTCCAAAAGAAACTTTACCAGAGTTTGAAATCACTCTTGCTCAAAAACAACAAAACATACATGCATGAAGTAAAGTGTATTGAGAAGATCAATATTGCAACATAATCAAAACTGAAAATGACAATCATACCGCTACCGAGAATGACGTCAGAGCCCCCCCAAAGTTGGGTGTTGTACAAAACTCGAGCTTTCAGAATCATGGACAATAAGCAGAGTACATAAACAATCGCTCACGTTCAATAACAAGTCATTAGTAGCGTGTGTGACCACCAAATGTCTCAATACAGTCGTCTGATGAGGTCACGTGGGGTTTGACGCCATTCTTCTTGGAGGGCCAAGATCAGTTCTTGGCCGTTGGCTGGAGAGTGTGGTCGTTGTCGAACACGACGATCCATCAAGTTCCAGAGATGTTCTATTGGGGACATGTCGGGTGAGCGTGCAGGCCACGGCAGGGCGTTGACGTTGTCGGCTGCGAGGAAGTTAGTGACAATTCTGGCTGTATGGGCTCTAGAGTTGTCATGCTGATAAATGACACCACGTGGCTGCTGTAGGAGAAATGGTAGGACAACTGGACGAAGAATGTTATATAACGCTGAGCTGTCAAGTTTCCGTCAACGATGACCAGCGGTGTCCTCTCCTGCCCACAGATCCCTCCCCACACCATGACACTCCCTCCACCATATGGTACGACCTCCTGCACGCAACACGCCGCCGTTCGTTCGCCCCTCCGGCGGTAAACACGTTGTCTTCAATCAGCCCTAAACATACAGAATCGACTTTCGTCAGTGAAGACAACCCTCTGCCAGTCACAACGTTGCCAACGTCGTACAGTCCGGGCCCATCTCAATCGCAGACGACGATGTTGCGCTGTCAATAGCTGTCCTCTGTATGGTCTAAAAGCCCTGATTCCATGAGCCCTGAGCCTCCTGGCCACTGTCTGTCGACTAACCTTGTGACCTAAGACATTTTTCGCCGATGACGTCACTGTCAGGAAGCGATTTCGGGGGTGCAAGGTACGCAGGTATCGGTCATCATGGGGCGTGGTCACCCTGGGTCTGACTGTTTTTGGCCTGTCAGCGGTCCGCCCTGTCTGTCTGTAACGTTGCATCAAGTTGGTAACGGCAACACGGGAGCAACAGAAGGTTCGTGCAATATGTGCGTGGGTGGCTCCCATCTGTACCATACCCAAGGCTCGTTCACGTTGTTCGACTGTGAGTCGTGGCATTTCTTTTGTGTTTTTTTATCACTGTGGATGTCTGACTTGCCGTTGCAATCGTTTTATACCCTTACCCGCACGTGCATTTGCAGTTGTCCGTGGTGCACGTGTTTTTCAGTTTTTCGCGTGTTATCTAGCAAACATGTAACAGACGATTAACATTTTCTGCATACACTATTGTTGTATTTAGGTTATGTGTTTTAGACAGACTTCATCGAAAAGAAATGTATTCTTTGTCTCAAATTTATATTTTCAGTTGGTAAAGTTTCTTTTGGACGTCAGTTTATAATCATTAATTTCCATCCATGTTCTCAACCTTTTTCCTAACACAAAAGTGAATAACTTGCCAAGAACATTTAAAAGAGAAATACCACTGTAATCATTTGGGTCCGACTTTTTTTCAGATTTGCGTGACGGGATAATCAAACCTAGGTTCCACGAAGAGGGGAAAGTACCTGTATCTAATACTTTGTTAAATAGTAATTTCAAAAAGGGAATGAGAAACGGTCCCGCACACTTAAAAAAGTCTGAAGGTAGTCCGTCCTCTCCAGGTGCTTTGCCGAGTTTTAGCTTGGAAATGGCTTCTTCTACCTCGTATGCAGTGATTTCGTCTGATAAATCGTTACTAAAATATATAATACAATTTTCACAAGAATGGTTATCAGGGAATTGGGAAACCGAATGATCAAATTTCAGAACAATCTTCTGCAGTTCCAGTGTTCATTAAGTTTGTGAATTAGGATGCCCAAAGGTCAGGTGATATTGTATTACTAGAGTTCTTGTATTGTTGGGCACATTTAAGTGTATCCCAGAATCTCTTGCAGTCATTATCCTTTGCTGCAGTATTTATTTCATCACTCATTTTCATATTATAGATGTTCTTTCTTTCACAGCAAATATTAAAATCTGCCTTTGCATCAATGTATTTTTGTAAATTTAGCGCACAGTAATATTATCTGAATTTGTATAGTAGTCTAAATTTCTCTGATTTGAATTGAACACAGTCTTCATCAAACATTTGACGTGCATATGATCTGAATCTGTACAATGGATAACTGACATATCATTGACATTTGGAGAAACATCACTGGAAACTAGGAACTACTCCACAGTACGGCATCCTGTATGTGACACAAAAGCTACTCGGGATATGCAATGGGGCTCTGCCATTTACAATATGTATGTCCAGTAAAGCTCTACCATACTTATTTGTTTTATAGTCACGAACACCTCTTGTAACTGGAAAATTATCTCCAACATAATGTGGATCAATTGGTAAATACTTCACATCATCATCAAGGATATCCCGGTCTCACCCCATCCTTGCATTAAAATCACCACATAAGATGAGTTTACAACACTCATCATTATCGTGTTTGATATGTACCAACTGATTTTCCAATCTATCTGCGCCATTTTCTTCACACGTATTGTAGAACCGAGATGATTCAGGGTGAATATAGACAAAAGCAATGAACACGTGTATTGGACTTTTTAGCATTCATAATCCTGAAAAAGATAACATTATCCCATTATCATAGTTACTGAATACGTTCGTTATTACATCACTAACATTTGTACACATTGTTTCAACAAAACTGAATATGTCAAGATCCTGGCAGAATGAAATAAAGTCACCAAATTCAATCTTGGATTTTAGTCCTTGGATGTTCCAGGAACACATATTCAATATGTTAAGTGTTGAATCGGTCTTATTTTCATGAGTGTCATTGAGGCCACGACCACCATCATATTTGCCATAACTATAAGCTGATGTAGACGTTGTTGATGACGACCCAGCAGCAGGTGCAGACGGCGATGATGTCTCAGCAGGATTGGGTGATGATCTTGTCCAGTTCCTACGCTGTCCAATTTGTCTGATTTGTGTGTCGTCGTCTCCCTGAACAAAAACTGATCCATCAACTACAAGTTTATCGTTGCTCAAAAAGGCAACTTTGTTCTCTTGTCTGGTTCTCATCATATGGTGAAACAACTATGATCGAACCGATCTTCGAGACTGTGCTTCAATGCTGTCATTTCTTGATTCCAGGGCATCAAGTTTCTGTTTCAAACTTGTGTTTCCCTCTTGAAGGTCACGAAGTTTGTCATCATTGTCCTTTGTGAATAGGTCCATCTTGTCATTAAGGGCGGTAATCCGTATTTGTATTGTTTCAAGTGTTATAGCGAGATCGCCTAATGTTGATGGGCTATGTCAAGTGTCGGGGGTCAAACATTGGCCAGAAACATTTTGTGCAGATAATCTAGTCTGTACAATATCCCTGGGCATCGTAGAGCTTTTGACCTCAAAAGCTTGAAGTAACATCAGGTAAAATAATGGTAATTAACGTCTAAGTGTATAAACATAAGATATGATCACATCAAAGAACATGACAACAATGATACGTACTGTTCAGAATGCCCAAATCTGATATGTACATTCAATAACTATAGAAATACACATTGCAACAACTAAAATTGAGGTACAAGCGATGTCGGGTCCACTACCTTATAATATCCATTATGAACTAGAAGGACATAGGCAGTGAATGGCTGTTTAAAGAGTCGCTGCAGCTTTTGAGCTGTAAAGAATGATATCTGAATGGTTGAGGGAACGGTAAGGGATGTGCTAGTAAGTTTATTTGTTACCATAAAGCCTGTCCAATCAACTGACAGAGTGGGAAAAATGTATCACAAAGGTTTTCTACTGTATATGGGGCCTGATATGTCCCAGTAGGCAGGGCATAGAGTCAAAGACAAAATAGGGACAGTGACATATTCAGGACCTGTAGTAAGTTCTAAAACAAGGCCATTTTGAAGTCCTGAATGGCGCTGAAAGACTAGTATAAGCAAGATGGAGGCAATTAAAAGTGTGATAAAACCGAGAAGGATTGAGACATGGTAGTCAGCAAGATCTGTGATGACAAAGTCCGTGGGTGGAGTACTAGCAGTGGCATGATCATTATAATTAAGAGCTGGTGGTTGCACTGCTTTGGTGGGGACAACGCGAGTGACTAACATGAGTGCTGCAGAT